CTTTTTTAATACTTGTCTGAATATCGGAATTTTGGAAGCCGTTTTCTTTGCTATGAAATAATATTAAATCGGAAAATATTCCTATTCCGTACAATTTAATTATGGAGGCAACTAGAAAGTTGTTTGAATAAGAGCAACGTATTTTTTTTTTTTATTTTCGACCACCATGACAAATTAAGATAAGCAGGATGTATTATCTGGAATCTTTCATGATTAGAGTAAATCAAATTTTATTGAAGTGATTAAATTTTGGATTAGAAATTGAATGTGAAAAATAGGAGTAAACTTTTAAGAAATCATTTGCTGTCCGTCTTTTTTTTTTCTGAAGTATGATAGTGGCAATTTTACTTCACAATTATTACGAACTAAGGTGAGCATATTGTTCCCCAGCATATTATCTCCACTAGAATTTTTGTTTAAAATTATTCAGACATTCTTGTTAGTTCAATTTATACACTTTTAAGGATTAACTTAAGTAAGACGTGGGAACGGTACTACCCGTGAGTGATACTTTCATTTAGAAGTGTCGTTTAATACCTCTTTAAATTAGCTAAAAGTATCACTTAAAGCATGAATATCATGCCAAGCTGAGATTGAAGCTTATTTTTGTTTCTATCTAAAACTGTTTGCATTTGTCCTTCCTTTACAACATTTGGTGGGAATAAATCCTTCATCAGATGGATGTCATCGAGGCATTGCTGGGGTATATGTACATCACTAGGACACTAAACATGACATACATTCATCTTATTGAGTTTGGCTGCAGTGCATCTAATACTTCTAACTCATGAAATATGGGTTTAGAAAATAAGTTCAAATTTAATACTCAAAAAAAGAAAAAAAAAATGACGCTTGCAATGCTGTATTTTCTTTAATGAAAGGTCAGCAAACTCTCAAGCGGGCAAAAATAGTCGAATTAATTAATTAATTACGGATCAGTTAACATCTAACTTTTCTTCGTAATTTAGCTTATCATCCGATAAATGACTTTTATGTTTCTTCATCCGTCTTTCCTCTTCTTTTTCTTTTTTTTGGATTTCCTTTGAATTTAACAAACCTTTACATTTGAGCTATATTATTGATTCTATCGATTTTATGGCACATTGTGGATCGTTATTTTAAGGCACTAATAGCATTTATACCGCAAACTCTGCAAACTGCAAATTACATGAGAGATCTTTTCATAGCTTGATAAGATGGATCGAATAAGCTCATAATAAACGATTATTCGGATGTGTTAATAAATTCGTCGCTACGATAGCATTGGAAATTCGATAGAACAAATTGCTTAACTTTTGATTTAGAATGTAGGATGAATTCTTACTTGCTGAAGCGATTGCTTAAATCTTTAGTAAAAAATTTCCTTCACTACTAATTAAATCATTATTTAAACCCAATCATTTTTCATTACATGAAATCACATTGTATTTTATTCATAAAAAAAATTCGAGCCAAAATACCGAAAAATTAAAATGAGATCTTGATCTGATCATTATTAACTTCTTCGCAGATGCCATTTTTGATGCTGAATGACGGGCTGTTGACCTATGACATCTATTTAGCTTATTTCATGCGCCTTACAGGGTTGTTTCGAAAGTAAACTTGTTGAATATTTATCATATCTTATGCTATCTGCATGATTGAATCATTGTATATTTCCTTTTTAGTTCCGTTTCTGAAGAAAATGGAGCACTTTGCAGTAGTAACCGGAAATATGATATTAGCTCTCTGTAGAAACAGTTGTCCTCTTATGATTAAAATTTAATTTCAATCATTAAAAGATTCCCCTTTGACCAATTTTATCCCAACAGATTTATGCAATGAACATTACAAAGGTAGAAATAATAATAATATTTAATAATAATAATAATAAATAAATAAATAAACAATAATTAAGATTAATAACAGACGATGAGAATAGTAGCAAGTGATACTTTATTGTCACAAAAGTGTTCACAAGTAAAGAAATGTAATGAGGAAAGTGACGAGCCAGTTGAATGACTAACTGCTTTGTCCAATTTTCAGGGAATGAATTTCTTAGCAAAACATTTCTTCGAGTATCAGTCATTGAACAATCGGCCACACTACGCTGTACAATTACACAAATTGGTTCGTTCATCCGTTTTAAGTTATCTTCAGTATTTGAGGTGCAAATGCAAGTAAGTTGTGCTGCAAGTGTTCCACCTGGAATGAATTTCAGCCACCTTCGCAGGCTGGCGCTGACCAGTCAGCATCGTGGGCTCCGAAATCAATGATCAAAGCAGGGAAGAACCAGGCTGCACCTGCAGCTCGTGCTAACCGTGCTAACACTGAACTGAAGCTCGGGACACATCGATATGGACGGGCAGCCAGACATGAATTTCGAGAATGGGGTGATAAGCATGGAGGTTGTGTGTCATCATCTAATTAACTGCAAAATTTTTCTCACTTTTAATGATTTATACATGTTGCTCAATTGAAATATTCTTTTTCATTGATATCAAAGTTGGTTGATGACAATATGCAGGTTGTCATTATAATTCAACGCTGTTACCACAATTTTGCAATTCCAAAAATTCAAGTTTTTCTTTACAATTCTAATGCGTTGCAGAGTTAAAGGGTGAAAAACTGGCGCCACATAAGGATGCTTTAACCAAATTCTTGTCAAATGAAGAAAATACACCACGGAATTTGTTTGATTGCGAATTTGAGGAACGAATTTTTCAAACAGAACCGGAAACTTTACCAGAACTGTTAGCAAGAAGTAATAAAGCGGATGAAATCGATTTGTCGCTCTCTTGTGCTGATACTACCCCTGTATCTTTCCAACCTGTTTATTCTTTAAGTTAATTGAAGTTTTTTTTTTTTTATTTCAAATTTATGAGAAAGAAATTGCAAAAAAGATGGAAAGATTAAATAAAGTTTACTATGTTTCACTCTAACTGACTTCCCTCTTTGTCTCTATTAACCGTTTCTGTTGATTGAACTCTTTAGAAACGCTTCTTCCATTTCCCTAATTACAGATCTGCAAAAAAAAAAAACAATTTTTTTAGGGTACAAAATATGAAACAGAAGTGCTAACCATCCTAACATATGCGCCAAATGTCCAATTCGTGACAGCTACTGTCAAAAAGGCTAAACTATTACCTTTCAATAATAGTAAGTCACATTGATATTTCTTAAATTTCAAATTTAAGATTAGCTTCTTAAATGCTGATAGGTGAATTTGCTTCAGAACCGTTTGCCCGAGTAATGTTGTTCGACAAACGTCGTTTGTTGGAGCAAAAACAAACAACAGTGACACCAACACCTGTTTGTAGTAGATGTCTCACCACTGATTGGTAGGAAACATTGATCATTTCAGTTTTATTAGTGTGTTGCACAAATGCAACTCAGATGTACACATGAACTTTAATTGTTAGAATATCAATTTGAAATAATTGAGAATCTTACATTTTGCAAATTATCTGATCTGACATATACTTACGATAGCTTGATAATTTGACAATTTTTCATGCTAATAGATCAATAATACTTTATGTTATGATTTGCTAATCTATTAGTGATATAATTTTAATAGTTTTTGTTTTCGTGCAAAATTCTAAAGTATAATTTCAACAGTTGCTGACTGATAAAATTATCATTAATTTATGCATTGATCAAATTTCTAATTTAGTGCACGACAAAAACCACCTGCATCGAGTCCCCCGTTGTCATCCTTATCAGCTGATTGTTCTAATGCGACGACGCTCATAATACGACGGACAGATGCCATTTTTTCCGAATCCTTCTTGTTTCACGTCACTCCACAAATGCTTGATAGGTGTCATATCGTCATCGAAGTGCGTTTTTTTTTAAAGAAAAAGGACGAATATACGATTTCAACAATTGCTGACTAAAAAATTATCATTACTTCAACTTTTGACTTCGAAACGAATTAGAAGTCAAAAGTCAATTGTTTACATCTAATTGCTGATAGTCACTGATAGGATATCATTATAGAATCACTGATAGGACAGATTGTATACCATTTGCTTAAAATTCATGTTACAAACCTTCAGATCGTTGAAATTATATTAATTGTATCATGATGCATTCCTTTACAGATGTTTGATACTGATCCGGCTGATTGTAGTCGTGGACCGATTCCAATTGGACATTGTGTGATTGGACCGATGTGCCCAGGAGCCGGATGTGCTCATTGGTTACAAATGATCCGGAAGACTGGCTTGCCAATCTGCATGTGGCATCGCTTGTTTAAGAGTTAATGAGGGTTGTATTAATTATCTGAAATTTCATAAACCATGATTTGTCCACAGGTCGTCTTGCAATCATTTTTTACTCTTCTAATTGTATTACATTACTCATCACAGCATACATTCCATTATTTATTTTTGTTTGTGTACCTGAAATGCTCATAAGTTATCGAATTTTATGCATCACTTTATATGTTATTAGTGTAATAATGTTTCCTTCCTTAGTAATGTTAATAAAAATTAAGAAATGAAGTTTCTATGAGAATAACAGCAATCTAATGATAAGATAAGAACAGTAATTGATCAGTGCATGAATTGATTACTCTTTTGAAATCTCTCATTAATGTAGAATAAACAGCAACACAGTACAGAATTATAGTAATTTTCATTTCAAATAAATTATAATAAATTAACAGTTTGATATCATTCATATCTGTTGCAGACATGTTAACGGTATCTTTCATTTGATAAGTCTCAATTTTGGTGACAACACTTCACAGAAAATTTTGAAAATGAAGTTTCAATAATATTGTTTGTAAATAGGATTTAAATTGGAATATCTTTCAAATGATGGTACAAATATATGTGAGTCTGCAAATTTTGGTAAATTGAATAAAAGTTTATTAAATTTAAAGTGTGCATACTTTCAATTCTAATTCCAGCAGTTGCAGATTTCATTTCTTGAAAAAGAATCCCGAAAATTAAAGAAAAATCTCTTAAATTAGTTGACAATTTCTCTATCCTAGAAAAAAAGAAGGCAACAAGTCAAAAAATAAAGTAAAATATCATCAGAAAGAGAAACAGTGATATCATAATAAGTCTGGCCTCGATTTTTTGGCTCCTATTGCAAAAATCAACATCGTTACAGTAGCAAATAATGTTTTGAATTCCGAACATGTATTCCGTTGTACAGTATGGCTTCTCTATGGATTCCGAATTTTCCTGTGTGTATGACTCACCGTTTACCAATCTGAAATTTCAGAAATAGCTGAACAGCGAATTCAAAAAAATTCAGAAAAAAAGTCTATTCTCACTGAAATTTTAGAACCATGAGCATTTCCGGATATAATGTCAAGACATTAACGCATCGAGTGCGCAAACTGTAAGTGATTAATCTTACCTAAATGTTTTATTTTCGCATCCTTTGCTAACATATTGATCGCTTGCTGAAAAAGATCAATTAATTAATTATAAATAACACAGATCACTAATAAATATTGTGAAACATTTCAAATTCTAAATATTTCCAATAATTTTAAAATAAATTCTGATAAGAAATCATCGTACCAAGTGATTTAATGCAGTAATCACCGTAACATAAGCCCAAATTGCATTCATATGGCATATTGCATTGGAAACATTTTCGCTTTGAGTTGGACGAACTCTCTGGAAGTACTATTGCTTATTGTCATAAAATGATATAAATTGAAGAATGAGACAGATGATTGGTTGGAGAGAGGGAGAGAGAGAGAGACGGGAAGTCAGTGACTATGGAATAAGCCATCCTAAGAATATCTATCATTTCAACAAGGATTACTTCCTAAACAAAATTCATTTAGTTAATAAACAAATAGAAGTTTACATGAGAGAAACCTTAAAGGCTAGCAAAGGGATGGGCTGAGCCGGTGATCGAAACCGGGACCTCTCGCACCCGAAGCGAGAATCATACCACTAGACCACTCAGCCTCCACACACCTAATCCATTGCCTTATTTGCGTCGCGCTGACGACAATACCTATTCCATAAAGGTTGGCAAAATGTGGCCTGCCACGAGCCGGGATCGAACCGGCGACCTTTAGATCTTCAGTCTAACGCTCTCCCGACTGAGCTATCATGGCTGACAGTCCACTGCTTTAAACTTTCAATTTTTTCTAGGCAATTTCGGTAATCATAGAATAGATGTTAGAAATAGAGATGCTTTGTTACATTCCTGGCCATCCTTATGACCCGTAGAATTCTGATTTGATAATTTCAAAGTGACAACCTTTATGTTCTGCTGTTACTTGAAGGAATAAAAGATGAGTGGTCGTTAAAGTGGACAAAGCATAATAAGTAGGTGACACCATTCTCCATACGTCTTCTAAATATTGCTGGAAAAACTTATTGCACTGGAAAATATAAGTTGTTTGTGATAGGGAATAAACTTTACACAAATGCTTCATATAAAAATTTCAATAAAAAAAAAAATATTTTCAAGAAGTAAAATGATTACTTGGAATGAAATGAAACAAATAAACAGATGTGTAAGTGAAAAATATGATAATTAGAGAAAAATATAAGGTTGATTATAAAAAATGATAATTTGTGATAAAGTATTAAGGTTGTTATCAGTTAGCAATGAAACGTTGTCTGATGGCATCTTAGCCGGAGAATTAACATTGTGTATTGTTCTTGATAGAGATGATCTCTTCGTTTTGTCTATTTGCTCTTTTTTTTTCTTCTTGTTTAGATAAAAAGTAACATTAAACAGTGGATAAAGGAACTGAATTAAGAGCAGTAAGGCTTTGTCATTAGCAGAATTATAAATGAGTGCTCTTTGGTAAGCTTGAAACAGGCCTTAACATCCCATTTCAGTCTCATCAGTCATCATAATAATTCTCATTTGTTCATTTGATGCTCATATAAATTTACTTGAAAAGGCAAATTGCCCATTCGTTACCGATATAATGATGCCATGCAAAAGATATGAATGAATATCGATGATGTATGAGAAATGTCAACATATTTTATTGCAAGATTGCAAGTGAATTCATTAACATTGATCGGAAGTGATGCTATAATCTTAACACAATTTATCTCATTTCATTAAATTTCCATAAAGTAGCCTTTTGTTAAATCTATGTTAAATTATCTCTCTCTCCTTTTTCCCACAAGTACAAGCAATTAATTTCAAATTTCAAACCATTCCGCAGGGATTACTGCACACTTCTTTAATTCGAGCAATTTTCTATTTATGTAATTTCTAAACATTTTCTACTATTGACATGAAATAGTTGCAAAAAAATCATCAACTTGATTTGAAATAATTTACATATGGTTTTGGTATTTGTCTAAAATATTATTTTATAGATTTTCACACCCAAAAATTAAAAAAAAATTACATTGTGAATAAATTAACTATAAAATATTTCAAGTTGATTTGATAAGAAACAGATCAATGAAACAAAGGATTCAAAAACTTAAAGAAACACATAAATACAAGTGAGAAGGAATAATGATATTGTAAGTCACTTTTTTTTAAAGTAATTTTTTTTCCAGAGAGCGAAAATCTGTGAATTTTACTTTTACAGTCTATCATTGAACCAACACAGAACTAAAAAACTAATAGGAAAAATAATTATTAAAAACAAAATAAAACCATTAAAAAATAAAAAAATACAAAAAAAAAAAACCCAATGTGATTAGTAAATATTGCACCTCTACGCAACAATATTATTACAAAACAAAACCAAAAAAAAGCTACTAACACCCAAAAAATCAAAACCAAAACAACATTACCACTAAAAACAATCAAACCCCTCCTATCCTTAGAACAAATTAAAAAAAAGTAAAAAAAAAGGACACTATATATATATATATATAAAGATTCGCATTCAAAACCATAAAAAAAATATTAATAAAACAAAAAAAAAAAAAAAAAAAAACAAACAAGTCTCAAAATCATAAGTGAAATTGAAGTTTTCTTTATTTTGTTTTTAATTTTTCTAAGATGGATGTTCGATATTTAATGCAACGCCAACTATGTGACAAGTTATGGAAGTTGAAAGTTGACAAAACCTGTCTTCAGCTGTTTATCTAGAATGGTTCAGTAGAAAAGCTTTCTTTTCTTGTCATTGTGTAAATAACATGCATAGTACATTATCAAAGTTTTCATCAAATGAAACGATACTTTACTTATTCTTAATTTTGTTATACGAAAGATCTCTTATAGAATCTGATTTCATAAAAAATTAATGCTGGGAACTGAAAAACTACCATCAAAAATACATTGGAAATAAGCCGAGCTATTTGGATTCGTTTACTTAAGTGAAAGAGATTAACTTCATTATTTCTCCTCTAAATATATATTTATGGAAAGTATTTCACAAAAGCTAACTGAAATATTTGGAAAGATGTTGTAGAAGGGAGAATACTGACAATGAAGGATAGCACAAAATAAGGAAAGAGGTAGGAAGAGAATGATGTAGAATGATTGGATTTGGAAGTTGAAGTGAAAAGGCTTTTCAAACTTCTTCATGCAAACACCGTTCTAATGGATATCCGGTATGCATATTATAAAGCTAAAAAGTAAATGGGTTAATCAAGGCATAACTCCATTTAGATATCTGAATTTTGAAAACATTTGAAGCTTTCGCGTTAAGGTTACGTATACCAAATAAGTCTATGAATACATCTTATGGCTACTGACACATATATTATTATAGTTAAGGCCAAGCACCAGAACATTTTATCCTGACAATCAACCTTATGAAATAATAGCGAATGAGGAAGAGTTGTGCTAGGCCAAGTCCTGAACTACTGGGCAAATGAAGGATGGGTTAAAAGAATGGCAAATATAAAGAGTGTATTGTTTAGTTACATTCTTAACATTGGAAAGAAAAGAGAATTAACAAGGGTACGTATTCTTTTTAAATCCATTTATTGCTCCATAGGTAGCTGTTGTCAATTAACGAGACTTGGAGACTCTTATTTCAGAGAATCTCTGTCATTCAGTGTTCTTTCTCTTTCTCTTTAACCTTCATGCAATGTTACTTAAAATGTATACGAAAAATAATTCATAACTATTGAAGTAAATTTTGAATTAACAAATAAAAGATGCGCAACCAATTTCACAGCAATTTTGATATGAAATGTTTAAATGAACACTACAAACCTATCATTTGCAAGAGGCTTTTCAGAAATAAAATAGGAAAGAATTAAATGGCTTTGTTAAAGCTATAATTAAGTGATTATAAGACGATCAAATTGAACTTTGTTACAAACTATGCTGAAGAATTGTAATTTTTTTCTCGACGTTTTAGCAATGAAACTAGTATTGATATATATATATATATATATATATATATATATATATATATATTATAGACGTGTAGCATACTATAGGCTTAACTGACTTAAACATATTTATATGTGTACTGAAAATATTATGGTATTTTGCGAAAGTGCAGACTGAAATACCAAATTAGCTTTTTAGTAAACTTTTATTTCTTTTAAGGATGATACCAAATGCAAATTCAATTTATATCACTGAGTTGGGAATTCTGTTTGAAGATAAGCCTCATTCCAACTCTTTTTTGTTTTATTTAAAAGTATCTTTATGCATTGATTGCACAAAATGAAAGCATGGAGTGAGTTTTTATTTGATCTGCTGAATGTATCAGGTTTCAATAAGGTCATTTTAAAATTCATTGTAAAAAATTTGAGATACCCGAAGTTAATGTCCTCAGCAAATTCAGCTTGGAGAGATTTGCTCTAGTGCTTCAAACTAATGATACTAGTCACGTGCAATGCAAATTTACTGCTCAGAGATAAAATATTTTCGTTGAAGAAATGGCGATTTCTGGTTATCACAGCAATAAAATTTCCGTCTCTTATTTTCCTATATCAAAAAAATAAAATAGGTCATACGATGCATTACAATAAATTTTTTGATTTTTCCAAATTTGATGAAGCATTTCAAAATGAAATGAATGGTAATGGAACAAACTTTTTTAATTTTTAATGTTTAGGAATAAGTATTACTTTTTTTCTAAATTATATATATATCACTGTTAAACAAATGGATTCAGCTTACCTTCATATCTCATGCAACAGCCAACCATTTGCCTCAAAGATCAGTGTTAGCTGATCACAAAATATAAACTGATATGAATTCACCAATGAATTACTTCTACACTGTTCCTGTCATCAATCTTATTATCAATCGATAATTTAGATAAACACCAAATAAGTTTTAATAATTAAATACTACTTCTTTTAAGGCATATGTGATGAATCTCTTTCTTTTGACATTATTTCCTTGTCAAAACAATAAACTCTTAATTTCGTGACAGTTTTGCATTTTGTATTGCATCTTTCGCTTTATAATTCCAGTACCTTTTTTTAAACTTTTACAAAGGCCATGCAGAAATGATTTCCCGAATAGGTGAGGAATGACAGAGGAAATGTCATATATATCAATTGAACACCTGCGAGCATGAAATGAACATTTAATTAAATGTATAAATTAATCAAGACTGTCCGAATTAGTAACAATTTAAAAAATTTCTATGTCATTCAAAACCTCCTATTTCTCTTATTTTAAGCCTTTATCTTTTAACTATTTTAGTTTGCATTTTTATAATGAATTGCTTATCATCAGATTGAGTTAGTTAAATTTTGAATGATTAACACTGCTGCAGGTAGTTAGTCGTCCATGACAGCCTATAATAAATGAATGAATTAGTTCCGTTATAGCATTAACATTCAATATGCATTTGAAATTTCTATTAGAAAATCTTTTTGTACTTCTATTATTTCACTGAACTTTTGTCGGTCGTTTGCTTTTTCTTTTCATTAACCAACAGATTAAATATTCCAGAAAAAGGATTAAAAATGTCGTTTACCGATGTGATAATGATTTCTAATGTGAGCACAAACCATGGCGGTAGGAATGAATTTGTCTACCTAACCAGAAGTAATACTTCATTTGTGTAATTCATTCTGTTCCACTGTTTAAATTTCATGCATTTATTTTAACATCTGAATTGAATGAAATGTTTGAAAGAAATTATTATCACTTTGCTTGTCCTTTACCGCATTGAAATGCCTTTCGGACAACTTCTATGCCTAACAATGTCTCATGTGATGAATTTTGAAACTATATACTTAAAATGATAGACTTCAAACAAAAAAAAGACAAAAGTCTTTAAGATAAAAGCTTTCATTACCTTCAAAAAAAAGTAAAATCACAAAGCGAGAAAATAATTTTGCATTTTAAGCAAATCAAAATAACATAAACAGCGAATTGACTATCGACACTTGGTCTATGCAGTCACTATGCTTGTATTAGCTGGTGGTTGAGTCTGAGGTGGGAGGTAGGAGAGTTGATTTGAGTGACACTTGGGACAGTTCAGTATATCTCAACGGAATATGATCTTCACGAATCTGTATGAAAGAAAGTGGCAGATGCAAAAATGTTAGATTCACAGATCTTCGATGAATCATTCTTTCAAGTAATATGTTAGGTTTTCCTTTAAAATGTCTAAATTATTGTGCAAATATTAGAAAAAGACTACACAATTATCAGTCATAAAATTTTAATTATGTTTTCTTTACTGCAATTCTTTAGCTATCTCATTTCATTATTAGCTTGTGATATGTCTTTTTTAACTTTTCTTATTATTTCACGTATTATATACTTCTTCGTCCTTTCTTAGTCAATGTCACGGTTAAAAAGCCTAATTTTCCTGACTACGTAATGGAAATATAATGTCAGAAAATTTTGTCAAGTAATACTTTGTTGCAAGTCGTCCTTTGTGTTCACTTTTAAAGTTATTAGCTCTTGTTAAATTGCTAATTGGTCACTGTTATACACCTGTGAATTCTTAGTGTGATTATGAATGTTGCTGGAATCAGCTGATGAATTCGTAATTGGTTCTGTTTCAGGACGACTCTTTAAGAGCTAAATTTTTGCTCTGTTAATTGAATTTAACACTTTACTACAGTAACTGATAATGAGTAGTGACGAGGAGTCTGACTACGACCCTTCAGTATGTTGTTTTTTTTGGTATTCGTCATATTCTAATTGAGCATTACAAATCTTTACTGAATCCTAGTTTAAGGCCCTTTTCGGTTGTCTGAAATTCTCTTAAATTGTCTAATTGTGTAAATGATCAGAAAGCAGTTGCATAAAATTTAGTGATTAGAATTAGAAAAAAAAAACCTTTTTTAAGATGAACTATGAATTCATGCATAGCTGAGTATGTTCATTTTCAGTTTGATTCATCTGTTCAAAAGAAAAAAACAGCTAAAAAGCAAACCGATAAAAAGGATAAGCTACCAGTTAAGAAGAAGCAAGTATCGAAAAAGGAAACAAATGGCAATTCAGGTTTTTTTTTTTAGTGTTTTTTTCTGTGATTTCTTCTTTATGTCCCTTAATTTGTGCAACCTCTTTGTTCTAGTCATAAATGGTGATAAGAGTGATGATGGCGATCCATTGGATATTTTTACGAATATTGATCAGCAGCCAAAAGGGCTAAGCATTGAAAAAATCTACCAGAAAAAGAGTCAACTGGAACATATTTTGCTACGTCCAGATACATATATTGGTTCCGTTGAGCGTACTGATAAAGCGGTACGTCTTGTTAATGAAACAAAAGGGAATAGAAAAGATCTATTTTCTCTGATTATTTGATAAAATGCACATTTATTATTTTTATGCTAATCCTCTATTCCCGCACCGTCAATAGTATTGGTTCTCTTCATTAGATAACAATTCTTTTAGTTTCCTGGTGAATAGAACAGTCACTATATGATCCTCACTGCTTAAGACGGAGAACTCATGCAATTTAAATTTTAATTTTACAAACATTAGATTATTTTTAATGTTTTTCTTCTTTCCTTCCACATTTGTTTAAATTTGTTTAAATTTAGCCATTATGGGTGTATGATATGGAAACAGAACGAATTATCCAACGTGACATTTCATATGTTCCTGGTTTGTACAAAATATTTGACGAGATTCTGGTGAATGCAGCAGACAACAAACAGCGCGATTCGAAGATGAATCTTATCAAAATTAATATTAATAAGTTTGATTTTAGTGAATCCACTTATTTCTAGTAATTCTCATCTAATCTTGGCCTTATTGATAATTTACACATCAAAATACCTGAGTGCTTTTCAGCAATAGTTGACAAAATAGTTGTTCTTTATGCAGTGTATCAATGTAGTAATGCGACCGTATACAAAGTAATTACACATGAACTTTTTGAGAAGTCTCATTCCGCGAACGACCAAACCTACTATTCCTAATCTATTATTCATTATTTTTTTATTGGTTTATTATTAACAATATTTTGAAAATCTGAGATGTAGTAAAAGTCTTTGCAAGGTAAGGAATATAGTTTGTTTTCTTTTCTGTAATTAAAAGAAACTTTGTACAAAAGAGATTGGATTGAACTTTAATTTTTAAAGAGAAACGAACGAGATCAGTGTGTTTAATAATGGTAAGGGTATTCCTGTGGTTCTACACAAGGTAGAGCAGTTATATGTCCCAGAGCTCATATTTGGTACTCTGCTTACTTCTTCAAATTATGATGATAGCGAACGGAAAGTAACAGGTACGGTCTCATGTGGATACCATGTTTATTCATGGATATTGAGTCACAGATCCCTCAAACCTTATCCGATTATTGTGATTTAATTTAATATAGTTCTTGGAAGGTATTTCTTGCTACTAAAAGCAGTATACTGCATAAGTATTGTGTAATTTTTTTCGATAACTTTTTGTATATTTCCTAAACATTTCAATGGTCAAAACCTTTTGCATAAGCTTCGATTCATTTCTTATTTTGAAGAATATTGTGGAAAAAGTTTTCAGGCGGCCGAAACGGATATGGTGCCAAACTATGCAACATATTCAGCAGGGAATTTACAGTTGAAACATCTTCCAAAGAATATGGCAAAGCTTTCAAGCAAGTAAGTTTCTGCGTGCATAATGTTTTGGTCTTTCTTGTTGTAGAGGAGATTTTTAGTGTGTGTTTTCGTGTCATAATTCCACAGTGTCGACAGTGCTGTTTTTTTCTTTTTTCCTTTGCGATATCGTGCAATATCGAATTTATTGAATAATAGTAAAGAAATGAACAAAGTAAATATTAAGTTATACCAACAATCATCAAATATATTGTTACTGCCATTGGTGCACCATTTTTTAAAAGTAAACTAACTGAGTGAATGGTGAAACGAATCGAATGAAAGCTTGCCACATTCAAAAACTGATTGCAAACAACGGTTTTAACTGTTACGTAGTAATCATTGGCTTACAACAGAGATTAGTGAGAATAAAGGATGTCCCTCTTAATGGTTTTTACCCTTTATATATTGAGAGTTGGAATGACTGTCAGATTAGAAGACCAATATTTCAATATTGCAGGTGGATTTTGTTTCTATGTTTTGTAAAGAAAATTAGCTGGAAAAGAGCCTACACCTGTTAATAATCAAATATAAATTTGGCTGTCAGCATATTCAAATAAGTCTTTCGAACATTATATTTCGATTTTTGTGACACTTGTATAATTATTGACTTTAATTTTAACTTAGCTTTGTTGTATTTTTTTAAGACTTGGAAGAATAACATGACGAAAGACAAAGACCCATTTGTAAGTAAATCAAGTGGTGAAGATTTTACACGGGTAACGTTCAAACCGGATCTTGCAAAATTCAGAATGACCGAACTCGATGATGACATTATTTCGCTGATATCACGTCGAGCATATGATGTTGCTGGTTCGACGAAAGGTGTCAAAGTATATTTGAACGGCAAACTGCTACCGGTAAAAATGATTTTTCAATTATAAAGTCTGTGGATTTTTGTTTTGTTTGAATCCTGCTAAAGTTTCTTTTTGATATTTGCTGTGCTTACGGATTTTTTTCAGGTGCAAGGCTTTAAGCAATATGTAGACCAGTATGCAAAACATAATCTTGATAATGACGGAGAACCATATAAAGTTGTTTATGAACAGGTTAATGAAAGATGGGAAGTAGCTTTAACGGTATCAGAAAAAGGGTTTCAGCAAGTTTCTTTTGTGAATTCGATTGCTACCACGAAGGTGAGCCATACTGTCTTTGGTTTTTTTCTTCATACATCTCTTGTTTTGTTTTTTTCTAATGATAAAATGTGAAATTGAAAAAAAAAAAAAAAAAAAAAAAACAGGAGCTACAGATCAGCAGGCTGGAATAAAATACAGAAATATCTGAATAAGACTACTTATCTTACTTATTTAAATATTCTTATTTTAATAGAAAAATGAAAATCCAGTCGTTTTAATTTAGGGTGGTCGTCATGTTGATTACGTTGCTGATCAAATCACAGCTAAGCTGATAGATACAATCAAAAAGAAAGTAGGAAAAAGCGGAGTAAATGTTAAGCCGTTTCAAGTAAGATTTTGATATTTATAATTAGTTAATACTTAGATTTCTTTTTTTGCCGATAGATCTGTTAAATTTTGGCGTTATCCATTCGTGTCGATCAGTACATGTCATTATATTGTGCTATAGATAAGCGGATGAATAGCAGTCTTAATAAACGAGTTACTTATTTTATGAAGAAATGCATGATTTTGAACTTGAATTCTAGTTATTTTCTTTTAGATTAAGAGTCACATGTGGATCTTTGTGAACTCGCTTGTCGAGAATCCAACGTTTGACTCACAGACAAAGGAGACAATGACCTTGCAAGCAAAGAGTTTTGGCAGTAAGTGTGAACTATCTGAAAGATTCATCAATGCCGTGATGAAATGCGGAATTGTTGAAGCTGTCTTGGCATGGGTTCGTTTTAAACAGCAGGAAACCCTGGATAAGAAATGTTCAAGTAAAAAAACCAGCAAACTAAAGGTTTATTTTGTCTTCAGTGTGTTTGAAGATTTACTCCGGATTTACTTGCTTAATAGTTTTCTTTTCGTGATTATATAATACATATCTATTCAGGGCATACCAAAACTAGAAGATGCAAATGACGCTGGAACCAAAAATTCCTCTTTATGTACGCTAATACTTACTGAAGGAGATTCGGCTAAGTCACTCGCTGTTTCTGGATTGGGTGTCGTCGGTCGTGACCGTTACGGTGTCTTTCCATTGCGCGGCAAAATGCTAAATGTTCGTGAAGGCAGTCATAAACAGGTATTAGTTCTTTTTTGGTGTGTTCTGCATCAATCGTTTTCTTTTCTTATAGAGCCAGAACGGTTAATGTATAACTTTCATATGTATATTGGTAACTTTAACTCGTAGATTGAATATAAGGAAATGTTGATCATTCAGAAACCTATCGTATAACTGATTCGAATATGGCGTGAGGTGTATCACCTCAAATTTGTAGTATGATTAGGAGATGAACGAAATGTTAATAGGTGTGGATTTTTGGTGATACTAATTAAGCTTAAGAACTTTTCAAGAATTTCTTTCAATTTAGTTTTTGAGGTAATTTCAGATTATGGAAAATGCAGAAATAAATTCTCTAATTAAAATCATTGGACTACAGTATCGTTTGAAATATGACAAAGATGAAGATATGAGAACACTTCGTTATGGAAAAATAATGGTTATGGCTGATCAGGTGGCTTATTTTTCGTCAACAATATTTTATTGAGTAATTAAATTGAATTTGCTTACTCGTTTTGTTTAAAAAATTTATTTTTTTCTTTTTCTCAACTTTTTATTTTGCTTAAATGCAGGATCAGGATGGTTCGCATATTAAGGGCCTTGTAATAAATTTTATTCATTATAATTGGCCAGTACTAATTCGTCGTAATTTTGTTGAAGAATTCATAACACCAATTGTTAAGGTAAATCTGGATATATTTAATTTTTTATTCTTAGGGATATTAAAATAATTCGTTACTTTGAAGTTGGTTGAAAGGTTTGCAGTAAGAAATAATAAAAGTGTGTTCGATTCGACTGTCTTAAGGCTACATTTTATATGAGTTTACCTTAAATTTTTAATTTTTTTCTCAGTGCATTTAAGGTTAAGATTACATAAAATAGTAAAGTTTTAAATTCTTTAAGAGGCAAGAGTTGCTTATATGGTTAAAGGTTTTAGTCCTTATTTGGACAGTTATTTACGGTTTTGCATAATTTCAATATTTGCAGGCTACGAAGGGTAAAGAATCGCTTTCTTTCTTTTCACTTCCAGAATACGCTGAATGGCGAAATAATACTGAGAACTGGAAGACATACCGCATAAAATACTACAAAGGTTTGCCGCATTGTCTATTGTCTAAAAATCTATGATTTCTTATGATACATTATTAGTTATGCATATTAATCGTTTAGGTTTGGGTACATCAACTTCGAAGGAAGCCAAAGAATATTTCACCGATATGATACGCCATCGTATTAGATTTCAATACTCAGGAGAGGAAGATGACAGTTCTTTGGATATGGCATTTAGTAAGAAGAAGATTGAAGATCGAAAAGTATGGTTGACGAATTGGATGGCTGTAAGTATATTACATTCATACATAGCAAATCTTTATGTATTTATATTGTAGTGTATTCAGTTCTTATAGAAATAACCTTTAACAAAAAAAATAGTAAATGCTTGCACGTTCATATCAGGTAGAATAACATTAAAACAATAAAATAAGAATATCTGTGGCACAGGTCTGGTTATTACCATAGTTGGTCTTGAGAGCTACTTTTATTAATCATCTGCGGTTGGGGATTTCCTTCCATCGTTTTCTTAGGAAAAAAAAACAAGACGTGAGCAAGGATTAACGGAAGAATATTTATACGATAAAGATACTCGTGCTGTTTCATTCAAAGATTTCGTCAATAAAGAATTGGTTTTGTTTTCAAATGCTGATAATGAAAGATCCATACCAAGTTTGGTTGATGGATTAAAACCTGGACAGCGTAAGGTTAGTTATGTAATTGTTAATACTTAATTTTTTATTTTTATAGTTAGAGTTCTAGCATATATAATAGATTACATATATATGGGTTTTCCCGTGATGTACTCAACCCGGTTTTCATTTAAACTTATAAAAGATTGTGGAAAATTTAGTCTTAAATTAAAAGTTCTTCAGTTTTGTTACTTAACTACTTTCATTATTTTTAGAGTCTCTTCCGGTTATTTTTAGGTGTTGTTCACTTGCTTCAAACGAGCAGATAAAAAAGAAGTGAAAGTAGCTCAGCTTGCTGGTGCAGTTGGAGAAATGTCTGCTTATCATCACGGGGAGGTACTGAATAAATTCTAGCTTTCACTCACTAATACACGTACTGCAGAGAAATCGCCATAAATTTCAAATCAGTTTTTAGGCTTCACTTATGTCAACAATCGTGAATCTGGCTCAGGATTATGTTGGTTCGAATAACATTAATTTATTGTTACCAATCGGTCAGTTCGGTACACGTTTGCAAGGTGGAAAGGATAGTGCAAGTCCACGTTATATTTTCACACAGCTCAAGTAAGCTTGTTTATTTAACATTTCTTTACTAAATTTTGTTCAAGTCATCAAATTGAGATGTTGATAATTTGATTGCAGAATGTTTGATTTTAAATTTAATTGTTACAACATATTCGTTCAGTCCTGTAACCCGAGCACTCTTCCCCGCTGTTGATGAAAATGTTCTACGCTTCCTATTTGAAGAGAATCAACGAATTGAACCCGAATGGTGAGTTTCTTTTGGTCATTACAAATGAAGAAAAAACGAATTTATTAAGTGTATATCTATATACTCTATTGAATTTCGTAGGTATTGTCCAATTATACCCACAGTTTTGGTTAACGGGGCCGAAGGCATTGGTACCGCTTGGTCAACGAAGATACCAAACTACAACCCACGTGAAATTGTTGATAATATGCGACGCTTAATACGTGGCGAAGAACCCAAACCTCTGGTATGTTTTTGATTTACTGAATTCTCAGAGTTGGAGTTTACATTTATTAATGCGAGAAATTTTCAAAATTTACTCTCTGTTCTGGATATATCTTAAATGTAATGGAAAAAAGGAATTTTCTATGAGTGTTGGTGCTGGTTTTTTCATTGCTGTGCAAGATGTTGATTTTTTCAAAAGGTGTTGGTTTTTCCTTTTTAGATTCCATGGTTCAAGAACTTCCGCGGAACTATCGAGAAATTAGATGAGTCACGATATATTTGCAGTGGTGAGATAGCTCTTTTGGGTGATGATACAATTGAAATCACCGAGTTACCTATACGAACTTGGACACAAAATTACAAAGAAAGTGTCTTAGAATCCATGCTGGAAGGATCTGATAAACAGCCTCCTCTAATACAGTACGTCTTTCGTGATGTGCAGGCATATCTGCATTTTTCAGTACTGATTTGCTTTGCATGAGGAACAATCAGTTTATTTTTTACTAGAAATTTTTCAGAGATTTCAAAGAATATCACACTGATACAACTGTTAAATTTGTTGTAAAAATGAATCCAGCGAAGCTGAGGGAAGCAAAAATGGAAGGACTGCATAAAATATTTAAGCTGCAAACGGCAATAAATATAAGCTCTATGGTATGCAACTTAGCCGAAATATAATAAGCAAGTTAAAAGTAATTAGATGTTAGTCGTTAAAAATACACCTAGCAAACTTTCATAATTTGGATCATTTTAGATTTTAGTATTTACCACTTATTTTACTAGTTTTCGCATATTTCAGAATCTAATATTTGAAGTGATACACCTGAATCTTCTGAGCTTACGGCGCATATTTTAATCATCATTCGATCGAAATTGATATTTTTCACATTTTCCAAAAAAATTTACAAATAATTGTGAAATATTTGTAGGTTCTGTTTGACCCTTTGGGTTGCCTGAGGAGATTTTCAAATGTAGAAGAGATTTGTAAAGAGTTTTTCGAAATAAGAAAAAAAAAGTACATCGAACGAAAAGCATTCCAAGAGGGCATGCTTCGTGCTCAAAGCGAACGGCTGAGCAATCAGGTATTTTCCTATTCTCCGTAGAAGTTGAAGTTTCAAATTACTGATCATTTTTCTTAAAAGGAGTGTCAAAGTTATTTTTCTTAAAAAAAGTTAGTCTCATTTTAATTTTTCACAGTCACTGACATTTTAGGCACGTTTTATTTTGGAAAAAATCAAAGGTGAAATATTGATTGAGAATAAACGTAAGGCAGTAATAGTGGAGCAGTTGGTGAAAAAAGGTTTCGATCCAGATCCAGTGAAAAAATGGAAAGAATTACAGAGAAAACGTGAACTTGAAATGACTGGTGAATTTCAGGTAGATGACGAAGAAATGGAAGGTGAAGAAGAGGTTTGTTTTCTTTTAAAATATTCAGTTTTTATTTTCCAAATATTGTACGTAGGTGTTGTGCTGTTAAGTAAGGATTATTACAATAGTAAGTAGTGTTTTGTTTTTATAGTGTATCCCCTCTGTTTCCTTTTTTCCCTTTCTCCATCTATCGCCCTCTTTGCTTTCTAGAAATAAAGTTTTTACGAAATAACGAATGTTTTTCGTGTATGTAAATTCCATTGTATAATTTCTTGCTGTGGTTTTTTGTAGTTCATTGGTTATCTTTGGTCAGAAGTTGTTACAGTTCGCTATTTTTTTATTAAATGTTACTGTTTAAGGAAGAATCAGAATCATCGGTTTCTCCGATGAAGAAGGATTTGGAGAAAAAACTGAGTGATTATGATTATTTAGTAGGTATGGCAATTTTAAAATTGTCGGAAGAAGAAAAGGATAAATTGTTACACGATAGCGAACTAAAGTTGGAGGAGTTAAAGGTACATTTTGCGGTTTCTGTATTTTTTTTCCTTAAAATTTATTTTTAATTCAAATATTCAAATTTGATTGAACTAAACGTTTTTTTCAGGCCTTGGAATTAAAAACTTGGTCTGATTTGTGGGAAGAAGATTTGAATAATTTTTTAGTTGAATTGGAAAAACAGGTTTGTTAAGTGGACATATTTATTTTCTTTTTTCGTTTTGGGTAGAATTTTCTGTCTAACACGAGAAAATTTTTATGTCTTTTCCAGGAAGCTAAAGAAAGAGCCGATATAGAATTGCAAGTAAAAGATGCTGTCAAAAAAATTGCTGGTGTAGCCATGAAAGGAGGACGTAAGAAAGCGGGCACGCTTGTACAAGTATGTTTTTAAGACAGAAAAAGTTTGCAGTAGATATTTCTAGGAGAATGCTTTGACATCTAAGCAAAGTAAGTTTTCATTCAAGAAAAAATTCTTTTTGTTGTGGTAGTGATTTATTTGTAAATTTTTTAAAATATTTGTTCTAATTCGATGTTATTTCATAATTTTGATATAACTTTTTGGTTATTTAGGAAGTACTTCCTGATCCGAACGGAATTCGAGTACATCCTTCTCTAGATGCTATTAAAGAAAAATATGAAGGCAAGAAGACAGATGAACAAAAAGTTAGGAAGCCAAGAATATCAAAAGAGCCAAAACAAATAAAGGATGAGAACGATGAGGGGGTTACGTCTTTCGTTGAATTTTCATATATTATTTATAGAGATATTTGAAAAGTATATGTGTATATTTTTTATATATTTAGGGTGAGAAAAACAAAGGGAAGCCCAAGCGTCAACGAAAAGAAAATGGTAAGCTTTCGGTTCACTTTTTATTTGGCAATGAATGATTTCGTTTGGATACGGTTTCAGCGCCAGGGAAACACTAAGCAGGAAAAACACTTCTCAATTTTTTAATTTTTCCATGTGGTAATGAATTTTTCAGATCGAGATGGCAATTCAATGAATGCTAAAGCAAAAAAAGGGAAGCGAAATAAGTGGGAATCCGACAGCAGTGAAGATGATTTCGATGAATCTGATTACGTTATTGATGACGACGATGATGATGTGATTGAGATTAAAAAAACAACAGCTGGAGATAGGAAGAGACGAGTTAGCAGTTTTTTTTAAGAAAATCTTCTGGGACGTTGTTTTTGAATTTCAAATCGCTTTCAGGCGGAACAGTCGATAACTAAAATGGATTTGACTAGTGATGATACTAATGTTGAGGGTAGTTTGATGCAGTCAGGCAGTGGTGAGGACAAGAAAAAATTTCATGAAAAAATGGATGATCTTTTTTTAAATGAGGTTAATTTTAATTTAGTTAAATAGATTTTTTGGATTTTTTATTTCTTTATTTGTTTTTCCAAAAATAGAAATGATTTTCACCATATCGGTATAAACCTCACTTGATGCTTAATCTACAGAAACCATCTGGAAGTAATACAAAATCAAGAGATATTGCTGAAATCAAAGAAGCCAAATCTAAAAAACAAACAAAGCCTAAAGCAAAAATCACGAAAGAAAATAAAAAGGTAAACTTTCTGACCAAAGGGAATGCTCGACAGTTGTGTCATCATTTTCTAAAAAGCATTGCCTCCTCACGCACATAACAGTGAAATCATAAATTAAAATTTGCGAAGTTTCAAGATTTTGCGCTGGTGAGAGTTAAGTTTTTCGAGTAGTTTTATTTTTCATAATGTGCCCAATTTTATCATTTTCCAAAAAGTATTGCTTCCTCCTCTTCTTTAAACTATGAAATGGTTTTTTTTTTTTTTTTTTTAATACGCTTAAAATCATCATTGTTTCATTTACCAATTACTTTATATTATCAGGGGTCGGAGTCCAGAAAGCGAAAAGTGAAATCTAATGATGATGATGATGAAGGTAGTGATGGTGGTGCTGACGTCCCCTTTGAACCAGCTGCTGTACGTCCTCGTGAAAGAGGCCGGCAGCTTAAAGCTGTTAAATACACTTTTGATGATGATAACGATGACGATAGTGATGATATTCCTGGATTGTCTGAGAGTACATCATCATCACACCAGATGAAGCGGCGAAAGAAAATTGAAAGTGATGAAGAATTTGAATTAAGCAACTAAGAAATCTTTTTGTCGAACTAAAGCTGAAACATCCATTGACTAATTCTGATCTTATGCAATTGAAGTACAGTGATTTATTTGTTTTATGGTCATTGCAATTCAAAAAATTGTCTACCTGTTCCGTACCTCGTTTGTGTTCATTTTTTCTGAACGGCAATGTGATCTTACTTGAGTTTATATACAATTTTGTTTAAAATAAGATCAACTTATGATTTTGTTTTTTGCATAGAACTTTATTTGGTTTCACATGCCGAATAATTCAGAACAAAATAGTATGTTTAATCAATATCTCCTAATTTGTATATAGGTTATTTTTGATCTCTTCACTTTTTGTGATTTCAATATTTGTCTCCTTTATGAGTTATATAAAGTATTTAAGTATTTTTTTTTTTTCTGACAAGAGCTTATTTTTTCTTTTCACGTTAATCATCTTATTCTTCCATTTTCGTGATATAATTACCAAATTCATTCTGAAGTAAGACCTCATCAATTTATCATTTTGCCTTTTTTGAACGGATGAGGAAACATTATAGAGTGAGGAGAGGGCTACGATTCAACAGAAGTGAAGTGGAGCAGTTTTTAACTCAAAAGTGGGGCTGAAATGGCTGTGGCAGTCAGATTTAGGCAGTAGAAGTCATAAGGTGTGACATTTCGTTCAAAACCTACGGAATAGCTTTATACCATGTGAAAATGAAGAGTGTGGGATAATTACATAGAGATAGTTCTCGGGGATTTTAAATGAAATCAGAAAGATATTGCTGCGCGCTTGTTGCGTAACAGCAGAGACGATCTGAGTGTAAGTGGTGATGTGCATTGTGTTGTACAGCTAGCTTATATGGAAGTCCAAATATATATATTTTACTCAATTACTGAAGTCAGATTTATAGGGGGAATTTTTTGGGAAGGAAACAAAAAGCAATAAAATCACAAAAAGTGCTTTCGAACCAGTTTTAAAGAAATTGGTCAACAACGGCTATACATGTGGTATTGGGAGACGCAATGTCAAATGGTTTATCGTAAAAATATCAGATAATTGAGATTTGAATGACAGGATTTTTGAATTATGAAATTTATTTTAAATTTTGTAGATTTGATTTAGAATAGTGCAGAAATGCATGCAGATTAAAATTACTACTGCAACCTGCAACAAGCATGTGAGCTCAATGCAATAAAATTTGCAAGTAAAGTAGAGGCTAAAAGAGTCTAAAGTTCTATATTGAGTCAATGTTATCCTTGCAAATCACTCTGACATATCATGAAGCATTGTTTAATTTACTTTAATGTCTCCGTATTGTGAGTTAATAATTTATTCTGCAGAAATGTTTACAAAATCGAAAACAGAATTAGAGAGCAAACGAAATTAACTTCTCATCTGTCTATTCTATTGCAGTAATACGATGAAGAAAGAAAAATAGGATATAACTACTGTAAGCGAAATCAATATAAGATAGATTTCACAACATATTATAAAAATGTCTCAAATCAATCAATCCGAATCATTGAGATAAGAACGTTCTATTCCTTTAAATAACGGTCCGGTTGGGTTCGGGAAAGAAATTAAGGACATCCGTGATAACTCGTGCGGTGGTACATCACTTTTCGATTGCGTTGTAACAGTCGCCAATATGGTATCAAAAATTGGTTTGATGGGCGTTTGATTTGATTCTAAATTAGATAATGAGAATAATTTAGCCAGTCATTCTATAAATGACATTAATATTTATAGGACTATTTGCATAAGATTTACGTGTTATTACCTACTGAGTTCTTGTTTAATTAATCGATTATCAAACTATCAATGACAGATTATTGACCCTTGGCCTTAATCAGTATAACAGTATCTTTTGGTTTGTTTGAAGTTCAAGCAGCTGTTATCATTCCGTCAGGACAATCATGTCGTGAATTTGAAGTAACTTTTTGGTCGAAAGTAGATGATTTAGATTAGCTAAAAGTTCACTTGACTTACTTCAAGTCTGTAGAACTTGAACTGAATCTTTTGCCTTTTACCCGCGATATTGACTCAGATATGATTTGTTTTCTTTATAAATGTGAATCGATACAATATACAGTCAAATAATTGAAAAAGAAGAAATAAATGGTACTGTTGAAGAGGAGGAAGAGAAGACTTCCTTTCGATCCTTCCTTTTTTATTCACTGATTAGAGAAGATTTTTAAGGATGTAAGAAGTGGGCTGGCTTAACAGATTAACATTTACAATGAAGACAGATATACATTTACTATTTGACTTTTAGATAAAGAATTCATCGTTTCAAAAAATGGGATAAAACAAAGGAATATCGAATTGGTTTATAGTAATGAATCATTAGCATTATTCTAAACACTTAATGTGTAAAAAAAATTTTTTTGGTTTTCCGACAAATCACGCTTTCAAATTTGTTCGTTTTTAAGTTAAAAAACAGGAAAATAAAAAAAAGGAAATTAAAAGTGAAGCTTTGTGTCGATGTATACGTGCATAACTCCAACTGTCAATGGATATGTTATTCAATCTGCAACGGTCAAATAAATAATACCAGATGAATAATATCCTTAAGTCTTTTGATTTTCATCACACAATTACTGTACGGTGAAGAGCAATTAGATGAAATTATATCGAATAACAAAGTGAATTTGACTGAATGATTATCAAACTGAAATACAGTCTTACTTGGTTGTTTGAACTCGAAATAGCACTGCAACTAGCTAGCAATAGTAGCAGTGCTGAAAATCGAACCATCATTTGACTGCCAGGTGTTCGCTGTTACTTGAAAACTTCAATTCGAAATAACTGATTTGTTCTCTCACTCCTTATTTCTTCCTTTGAACGAATCATTTCTTTCTCTGAGCCTAAACAAATCATTAACAAGCATGAAAATTTTAAAGAAAGATGAAAAATGGATGTGAAAGCTGTTTCAAATGAAAAGCAATAGAATGAGAGAGAAAGTTGGAATGCTGAATAGGAAAACGAATTTGTAGAAAATTAGACAAATTGAATCTCAGAATACTTGTAAAGCGTTTACACCAAAAGAATTAAAAAGTAGAATTCAATGCAGTTTTTGATCAGTAGATGAAGTATGTAAAACACTGATACAGTTTGATTAGCATTTAAAAGAAAGATTCGTATGTCCAGTGACAGGAAATCTAATCTAAACTTGCGTAACGTAAACATAAAATTCATGGTTTCTCTCTTGTATTGTAACTTAATGAACTTCTATAAAATCCCTCTTTAACTTTAAATTGCATAGAATTATAATTATTCATTCCATTTCATTTGCATAGAATTATAATTATTCATTCCATTACATTTGTTAAGTTTTTTATAAAATTCTTAAGGTTAAATGAACTGAACAGTAATAAAACTGAATCAGGTCATCAGATCACTTCAAAAAAGCATACATAAGGTTATTACAAAGGAAAAACTACTCAAACTTGTACGATGCAAAGTGCCAAATTATCCCACCTAGTTCCATCTACTTCCGTCATTGTTAATAGCTAATGATGGAGTTATGACTCAAAAGATATGAATACTGTTTCTTAGAATTTGAAACTTTTTCTTAAATTTGAACTGGATTTGAAATTGATCATTCGGATATTACAGAATCATCACAGATTCTGTAAAGCTTTCATGAGGCAATCCTTCCATCAACTGTAAATCTGTATTTAGTAAACAGCATTCACTGCTAAATAATTCACAATTTACAGTTATGCATTTCAAATTACTTTAACAAAAACCGCCCACACACGTAGGCGTGACATTTTCAATGTAAAAATAATGCCTCGTGGATGAAATATCTTCACTCTAAGTCCAGCACATTAACAGAAAAAAAGAACATAGTAACTAGCGAAACTATGAGAAATTTAGCAAACATTGCTTAAACTTCGGATTTTGAACTGGTTTGCTAAATTTCAGAGTGTGGCGATAGGTGGCACTGATTGTTTCTGTGTGTTACTAAACTTTACCTATTATGAAAATTAAGATCCTCGCACGGTATGAAATCAGCAAAATTTGCAGTATTAAGTATGAGTGATGCGTGCACTTTTCAGATATTTGAAGGGGAAAGTTTGTATGTGGAAGTGTATGACATAAAAGTTATTACATTTCATATCTTAATTAGTGAATTCAAATGATACTTTTGTACTATATTTATTTGAGTGATCCGTCTGTGCCATATAAAATAAATTCAAAAAAAAAAAAAAAATTAAATTTGATATTAAATAATTACGAAAGTTTAATTAGTTTTAATAGTTATAATAGTCTAATAGTTTTAATCTTCTGCACTTTGATCCTTTCTAGAGGTATTATTTTTTTTAACAGTTTTTCTTACCAACCTGAGAATTCTTAATATTAAAAAAGAATTCTTAATATTCTCAGTACTAGAAGATTTTTTGATTTCTTAATTAGCATAGTTTCAAGAAGTGATAAGGAACCTAAGTGATTGTAAAAAACCTTTAAATATTTGTTTTCAATTTTTGTAATGTTTTCAAATGAGAATGATAACATGCAATAGTTTATGAAGTACGAAACCATACATATCATTTAAAACTAATCAAAGAGTAACACTTATTCGAATTATTTCTGAAATTATTTTCGCATAGTTTTTGGAGAATCTCACAGTATATTACAGAAATGCTGTGATCTGGTCAGAAATGCTATGATCCGGTCAGAAATGCTGTGATCCGGTCTGGTCTGATCAATAATACTATGATGGCACTCAATCATAATAGAAAAGAAATACATTTGATAATAATTACAATCGACGATCGCTAGTCACAGTGTTATTTAGTATGATTGTGTTCGTAACTTTAATAAATATATCGAACTATGCAAACAATCTTTTCCTCATAAATGCACTGAATGCCTGTGATTGAAATTTCTTTTCAGCCATATTTTTTTTCGTTAAACATAGAGTTCGATCCTGAAATTTCAATTTTTTGGACAGTAAATCCCAAATAAGTTGAAAAGGCTAACAAATTGAAATTGAATTATATAAAACAAATGCCATGATTAGCGCAAATTCCCATTTTTGCAATAAAATTCATCTTTAAATTTCAAATTTTTTTTAAGCAGTTAATTAAAATTGGGCAGTAGTCATAAATTTTTAATAATATAATTTCTTTGTATGGCAATTACTTATTTTACAATCAACTGTCATTTATATAATTCAATTCAATTAAGTTAAACTGTTGAACTTTAAGAAAACATTGAGGGAAATTTATGTTATATAAACTTCTACCGACTTAAATAAAAAAAGCGGTGTTATTTCTATTTTTATTATATCAGTTAACAAATTAGTTATATTCATCTTCATCGAAAAGGAAAATTTTGAGATAACTTGCTGAATCAGTTTCATCAAATATAATTTTATATCAGAATTAAAATTATGGTTGAAGTGTAAAGATTCCTAATATTTTGGAAATTGGAAATTACAGAACTTTAAAGTTCAGTTACCATTATAAAAATGTTTAGATTATAATGGTCCTTATTTCGGGGTTAACTAAATGGGTTTTTTTTTTTTCAGAAACTCTCTAATAAATTGGTTTTTGATCATTAAATTGTAAAGTAATATTGTTTGACGAGAAATTTTTTGTGTGCACTTGAGGCGTAAAAATTTTGAATGAAAAAGCGAAACTTTAAAGGTAACATTGAAGATATGCCTAAAAACTGAAGAGTATATGATTTTACACTCCGCTGGACTTATAGTTTTGCATTGCTCTTTTAGACCGAGTATAACTGAAATTGTTTCCTTTCCTTCAGGATTTCTGGCAAGGAAAGGACAAAGAAATATGATCACTTCAAATCCAAATCCTACAAAAGATTTGCTTGAGATTTATTATATCTTTGGTTTGTTAGATTTCTTTTCCTTCGACTATAAAAAGTATTGCTTATGATGTGCATGTGAGACATTTGCCATTTACGAATGAAAAAATAATCAAATTTATTAGGAAGAGAATAGAATTAACTTTTGAGATCGTCAATAATTTGTTCAGCGCTGCTTGATTAAGAATGTGTGAAGATTGAGGAACTATTGAAATGATAGAAATCTTCTGTAAAAATTTTCAATTTTACTTGGAATGCAATGCATCATTAACTTTCTGTTTTTTTGTAGGGACAAAATAGCATGAATTATTTTTGCTAATTTATTATTAAAATACAAATAAATTGTTATGTAATTATGCTAATTTTTTCAACTAAACTGCGAAAAGAACCATAAATTTTATAGAAAACTATGAAGTGTTAATATGTAAAACTTTTGCCAATTTGTACTACATCCAGTGAGATCTTCTACTCAGTGATGATACCATGAATGCATTTGTTACACATTGTTTTGTAGGGAAAATGAAAATGAATGTTGTTAAATATGACGATGATTCGAACTGGATTAATAGGATTATTTGGCTGTTTAGATTAGGACTTCAATCAGTTGCGCACATGTGAACACAGTGTTCAATCATTTGCACCTCCTCCCTTTAATTAGATCTCCAAGTTTTAAATCATATCGTCGTCATGTGACGTTTAACGTGCTCAGTTCTATTTTAATCATTTTTACGATGATAAAACGTATTAATTTCGAAATTTATTTCGTCCTTAAAAAAAAAAATTGATAATAAAATTTTCATTTCAATATTTCCACCCAACTAATAAGACTGATTATAAAAAATATTAAATTAGCAAGTCGCTTCTTCGTGTTTACCCCATTTCATATCAGACACCGCGGTACATTTTCTATTGTAAATGATTTATTATGATTAATTTCAAATAAAATTAGAATGCACTATTCTTTAGATAAGCTGTCAAAGTTATTTTCTCGTCTAATTTCAAAATTTAAATATGAATTATCATTTCATGAGAATGATCCATCTGCCTCTGTTTTGCGCATTTCTCTCCAACTCTTTGCTCTCGTCCTCTTCTTTGAATAGGTAATTGAACTATGAAAAGAAAAATTACTCTCATCTTCAGCCTTTCTGTGAATAGAAATATTTATAGAAACGCCACCCCTTGACCTTCTAATGACTCTCTTATAGTAGTAGTAGATATCCATCATGAACCATTTACCTTTTCTAATAATTGTCATTTGTCTTCACGATCAATCAAACCTCACGTCAGATTTTCCGAGAACCTTCCACGTAACGTACCTCTTAAGAAAATGCAGTCATTTACATCAATGGATTTGCAGCTACTATTATTCTCACTTATCCAGGTAGATTTCCTGCCTGTAATTACAGTTTGTAGATTTACTATTGTATCACTGCTAAGCTATTACAAAGGTTTAGATCATTTAATGTTTTAATTTTTTGATTTTATATTATAATTATTCTGTGTTCTTTAAGTAACATCATTTAACCTTAAGTTGAAAATATCTTTTCTGCTGAAGTAAGTTATCCTTAACTGTAAGCTCACCATAGCTTAATTTAATTGGAATTATATGAGAAAATGATACGAGAAAATTCTGATCAATCGAAAATTAGTTTCTCACTTAGCAATTATAACTTATTCAAAGAAATTGATTCCTAATTTATTTTTTTTTACAAATAATAAAATTGAAGTAAACATTATTGTAAATCCTACTAACATTACTGAAAACTTATAATTATTCGTCCATCTTTATTTACTTTTTTCATTTTCAATTTATTTTCTTATTGTTAATTTCTAGCACATTTGTTGACAAAAATCGAGAAATATGATAATTTTGCAGCTCTTATTTATTAATTTATAGTTAACTTTTCAAACTGAATGTGATTATATATCATAGTCACAGAATCATTTGTAATTGGTCAAATACACAACAGTTCACCTGAAATCAAATATTAGATAACCTTAATTAAATAACCATAGTAATGCAACAATTATTAGTCTTTTATTTATCACCTTTTCTATTTTCAATTTATTTCTCTAATTTTGACTTCTTCCACATGAGACATCATTAAATGAAATATGCATGGATATTTATGATTTACAATGAGTCATTTACAAAAGGTCATAAAGAATAAAATCTCTGATAAATTCTTTTAATCAGAGAAGGCTGCAATTATCTCATAACATTTTTTAATTAATAATAATTACTACCTTTTAATTTATAATAATTAACTTTATGCGAAAAAAAAAAAAAAAAAAAAAAAAAAACGAAATAGAGTTAAAAATTTTGTGTTTATTGTCTAAGGAAAGCATTTTTAGACTTCGCTATCATCATTCAACACTGTGCAAAATGGGATTTCAGGTGACATCGATAATTTCTTCATTCTTTAAATTGGCCAATTTTTTTCAATTTGTGATTTATACTTGGTTGATTTCTTTTAAATATAAGGCATATTTTGATTCTCTCTGCATTAACTGAGTACAAGAGACCAGTTGTCAGAAGAATTTAAGATTACTTTGCTGAATTAGTCGTTACGATAAATGCTAAAAAGATTTTGTTCCTTTGGTTTTTTGATTCATCAAAAGATGGTTGGATTTTCTTCACATTAGAAAATAGAGTTAAATACTTAATCTATAATTATTAATTAAGTTTTGAAATAATTGTCATAGGCCAACCATTGGTAGAATGTGGAAATGAATTTATCCGATTTTCGGTCAAAACAGTAAGGCCTTTTCGCGGTAAAGTATTCGTCAAAGGACAACATGGAAACAGCGATTGTAATCGAAATTATAGTGAAACTGATTCTACCAATACTTTTCATTCACACGGTAAATTTTAAATATATAGCTGAAAAGTTTAGGGTTTGAAATTGTTGGATATGCGCATCCCTTAGAGTTTTACTGAGTATCAGTACTGTACGAAGGAGTCTCGAACAGGTTTTGATTTTAATCAATTCTGATATAAGTAATAACATATGACTTCTTTCTTTCTCTAATATATATGAGTTAAGAATCTTTTTTTCGATATTCTAGTCTAACAAGTATGTTTATTATTCTTGCTCCCTCTTTTAACCTTACATCTTTTCCTTTCTTTGCCATAAAAGAGGAAGTAAGAAAGGTAGACGATATGGCCGATTAGATTAGATAAATTGCAAGATTGGAATTTTAAGGGATAAATTCTAGCTTGAATTTAGTGAACATAAATATTTCTAGAGACTGCAAACAGTGCAATACAGAAAAGGAACGATTCGTTAGATGAGCCAGCATTTATGTCATCTTCTCAACCACTGGCTAAAAGTATACAAGGAGCAAGTTTGCTTAGTAAAGCAGAAGAGAGCAATCCGGAAGCAATTAGAATGACTAGTACTATTCATGGTGAAGAAAATTAAAATAAACATCAGGAATAATGAACAATTTAACTGAAATCAAAATTGAAGAGAAAAAGTTGCATTCTTTGTGGATGAGAAAGTTATCATAACAAAAGATGGCTCAATTAATCTTAAGACCGAAAACTTCACTTTGAGATAAGTAATTAGCTAGCAAAATCCTGAAATAATTGAGGAAGAATCGACTCATTTAAATATGTTATCAGAATGTAGCATAAGTAATGAAATTGGTTACCAATTTATCATTAAAGATTGGGCTTAAGGATAGCGAAATTGATTAATAAATTTTGGAAAGAAATTTGTTTAATACATTAGAAAGTTAGAAATTACAGCTTTCAAGCATCAAACGTTTAAAACGTTTGATGCTTGAAAGCTGAGTAATTTTAAGAAATTTGATAATATCATTTTCGATGATATCATTGATAATATCAATAAATTTAACGAAGAAAAGTATCAGTAATAAATCAAATAAACCTGCTCGATTCTGTAGATTACCGATTCGTAACGACAAAACCGCACACATCAAGACACTTTGATACAGCTTCCACAACACCTCATTGTCCACCATGCCCGATATGTCGAGATGAGCTGAAGATTGAAGAAGGAGAAAATACCGATGGCATTGCTGATTTGCTTATTAGATTTGGCAATTGTAATGTTAAATACGAGCAACAAGTATACTTCTCCTTCATTTAATTATTTGTTCAACCTGAAATCACTGATCAAAAATTCACTGATAGTATCTGAGCTACAATTTTCTTTTGTTTCACTTGTTTCACATCTTATCAATCTTCAGATTAAAAAAGTGGTAACTGTTTAAATCGTTTACAGAGAAGATTTATTTCTAATATTATGTTAGAGAAACTGATCACAAAATATGTAACCATTAATAACAAATACATTCATTAACTTCTAAATTTTTTGATTCTGCAATCATATAACAATAATATGCGACCTAATTGAATTAAGAAAATCAAATCTCAACAAGTATATTTCTCCTTCACTTAAATACTTTTCAATCCTTTGGTTCTTTTTTAATTCAAATTTTTTATTAATGCATGGAAAAAAGTTGTGTGAGAAGTAATGAATATATATTTAATGAGCAGTTGTCTATTGCATGAATAAATTTTAAAAAAAAGAAAGAAAAAATGATGTAAAAAAAGCTCATTATGTCTTTGACAGAAGACAATGGCAATTCAATAATTTAGCGGTAAATCAAAAGAAAGTTCAAAGAAAAAAATAAAACTGTTGATGATTTTTATAATTAGGTTAAGGACAATCAAAAACAAACTACTGAATGTAAGCATCTTCAGTTATAGTGATTATCGAAATTTCCTTAGATATACTTACCTAGTGACGATCTATAGTTTAAGAAAGACAAATACTACTAGTATAAGACTAACATTTGCTAGAGTTGCATAAGTATTGTAGGAGGAATAGGCGCCTCAAATATTAGATACTAGTAAAGCTGAGGAGAAATATTTAACAATTCAATAAGGAATGCATTAACTCTTATATTCTTGGCTTCCCCTAATTTTTAAAAGAATTTCAGACAGAGCCTCGAGCAATGATTGTATCATTAACAGTAATTGTTAGCTTTCATCAGAATTTACTTACTAAATTAGATCGAGCATTTCGTATTCAATGTGCATATATGGAAGGTAGTGAAACGATCGATACTGATTTAAGCGTTAGGTTTGTTTTTTTGAAAACATCCATGTGTCTATTGAAGTCATCCAGATTGTCAATGCATGTTCTACATAATGCATTTTAAATGTGAACTCAATCAAGGAAGTTCACTGTATTCTATTCTGTTCCTTCATAACCTATACTTTTAATTCTATAAGGAGCCTAAATTAATTTTCGCATAAAGGATGTGATAAATTAAGAGTTACTCTGGAATTTTTCAGTATGCCTCCAAGTATAGATGTCGAATCAAAAATTAATACACCACAATGTATTTATCAGGTTAAAAGTTCTTCTGGCAAAGTAATCACGAATGCTCGGGTTGGTGAACTCATCGAGCATAAATGGATTTGTCAGAGTCCCTTCAAAGGTTATTGAAAAATTTTTAATTGAAATTATCTATATTTTGAATTGATCAGGTCTTAAATATACTTACAGATGACTAAGATTCTTTCAAAGAAACTAAATTAAATGTGTTCTTATAAAATTCCCTGCAATATTGGAACTGTTTATGAATTTACTGTGATTAATCTTCAAGTCTATTTCAGACTATCATTTACAATTTGCACAGGAACTATTCTATAGAATATTTCTGAATGAACTTGAAATTTCCATTTACTCATTTTTTGCTTGAATTAAACAAAAAATTTCAGGTGTTCATGCAATGCTGGTAAGGAACTGTTATGCAGAATCAAATGACAACTTTAAAGTTTCTGTTATTGATGATAACGGGTTCGTTTGTTAATTTGCATTTAATTTGTGATAGTTATCATTTTTTCTATTAAACATTTTTTTTTTTTTTGATTTCTTTTTGTTCAATATGCATAAAAAGTAAAATCATTTATCATATTATTTCAATAACTGTAAAAATTCTTCAATTTATGAATCAGTACCTTCTGACTCTCTTCTTAATTAAATGCCATAATTATATTAACTTAAGTAGCAAACCAATGCATTAGGCAATGATATTAGTTCATTTCCATTTATTGCTATTTTCAAGTAACTAATTCAAGTATATTTGATTTTGTTGAACAAAGTTATATTTTGAGATGTACATTGGATCCTTATATTTTACCGAATCTAGAATATGCATCAGACTTACTGTCAGTGAAAGTACGAGCACCTGTTTTCAAATTTCCTGATCGTTCCGATATTAGTTTCCGATGTGATGTTCTGATTTGTCTGCGAGGCCAACAAGATTGCGAACTGATTACGATAAGTTTTTATTTTATAAACTTCACTAACAATTTATTACCCTAATTAATTTTGATTGTTATTAAGGAAATTTATATTATTTGTATGCCAGCTTTATACAACTTCAATTTCATATTAATAGCGTGTTTGTTTAAATATAATGTAATTTAAATGATATAAATGGGTCTAGTTTAATTTTGAGTAGAAATGAGTTTGTTAAATATTAAGAGCTCAGTTTAAATGAATTCAGTTTGTCATAAAGTTGATATACCTTGAAGAAAGCCCTAATGATTAATTGTAATTAGTTGTTATGATAATCAAAGGAAAAAGAGTGAATTTCGCTGTCTGAAATTCTCGAAAATGGATTGATTCAAGAATAATGAATCCATTGCTAAAAACTTTGCATAAGTTTCAATCTATAATTTGGTAGAATAATATGATTATTCCCACAACTTGTCCCAATAATGTAGCCATCTTATTTTGTCTGGAATTGTCACAGCTTTGAATTTAAATTGAGTTCTTATTGTGCTAATGGATTAAATTCTGCAGAAAACTTTAAAGAAAGAATGCAAATAATATAAACTCTAACTTTTACGATTAAATAAATAAATAATCAAAGCATTTAGGAAAGTTTAGCTTGGGCAGTATTCTGGAAAACAATAATTGTCACTCGAAAAACTTCAACTTGGATTTAAAAATGCAAGATTAATTCAAAGTTTTATTTGATTAGAAAAACTTTTCCTTTTTCTTTTTTTACTTTGATTTTTCATCCTTTTCATACTTTGATTTTTCATCCTTTTTTTGTTCATCTCTTCGTTGTTTCTTCCTTCGTTTTATTTAAATTTCCGGTAAAAATTAAGTTCCAGTAATTAATTTTTGGCAAAATTGTTAATTTATCACAGTTGGATTGGACTAGAAGTTATTAAAGTTCGGATAATTTTCTAATCATAAAGCTTCGCATTAAAATTTACTAGTGCAGCGTTAATTCTAGGACATATGTCGAAAGTAACAGATATGTCAAAAGCATATATGCTTTTAACTGATCGATATTTTGGGAACTTAATTAAATAAGTTGAAATTGATATTCAACAATGAAATGAATTGTCATTCCTTTCCTCACATGAAATAGTTTAATTACGTTCTTATTTGATGAACTGTTATTCATTTTTCAGCCACCAAAATGCGCTAATAATAAACGAAGACGTCGCGAGTTATCCAATATTAGCAGAGAAAGTTTGATTCTTCGAACACCAAGGATTAATATCATCGACCTGGATGATGATGATCAAGGTATAGTCCATGATTTCCTTAATTAATCTGACTACGCTGATCTCAGCAAATTTCTGGTTAGAAAAATCTCCACACAGCACAAAGTTGATGTGAATTTGCCTCAATTCCAATTATTTCCTATAAAACAGTCATGGATAAGGTTTGATTTTATGTTTGTCACGAAGACAGTCCACAATACACTCATAAGTGTTGTGTTGCTATTACTGCAAGAGTAATAAAACTCTGAGCGGATACACTGATAATTTATGCCTTAAATGTTTCATTTGCTCAGATAGTTTTTTTTTTGGAACTCAAAAAGCAGTAATCAGTAAAGTTAGTTTTTTGTCAGATCGCAAAGTATAATTTTTAATTATGCAATTAAGAATTAATGAAGGAACAAAATACTGCGAAGATTTCTATGTTCCATCAAACTTTCTTTATTAATCAAGTTTTGTGGTATATTTAAGAAATAATGCTAGCAAATGTGTGATATCTGTTCATGATAGAAATTTATACTAATTTGTTAGTCGTGTTCACTGTTTCTGATTTTAAAATTATTTACAGGAGTAGGATCAGAGCAAATAATTTTAAATCCCTCATTATCCGGTAAATCGTTGCGATACTGCTTAACGGTGACTCAATTTGCATGCATCATTGCAAGTGCTACATTTCTAATTACCACTACAGCGACTCTTGTTGGTGCTTCTATCATCAACTCCAGTTCATAATACCAGTATCCATTAATTTGTGATTACATTCCAAATTCGCATATGCAATTTTATTAAAATATTGTTAAAATGCAGTGCCGAGTAGAACGACACAGAATAATCCAAGAATTTCAAAGACTTTTTTTCACTACTTCATTATTACAAGCTGTAAAACTTCAGAATTAATCTGCTGTAATCTAATATGTTTATCGCATATAGTAATGTAATTTCAAGACTGTGAATTAACTGGATTATTTGAAATTGTATTGAAAATCCCTTTACAAATACTGCTCAATAAATTAATTAATGATACTTTAAGCCAAACTGAGATTGTCTTCAATGAATCGCCATTGGAAACTGTAACTAATATTTCGATACCACACGATCTCCATAATAACAAGTGACAGTAAATAATGTATGTATTTAGGCATATATACTACAAATTGATGAATATTGACAAAAAGGTAATTTGATCTTATTATCTCAAAAATTTACAAACGAGGAAATTCTTAGCAAGTCAGGTTAGCCAGATCAAAAAAGTGATAATTATCTCGTCACCAAAGAATCTTCTCACGACTAAATTTTTCATTTAGGTGGAAATTTATATATAAGGATATTTATTGAATGCATGAATTATTTGCTAGTACTAAAGTACATATGGATGAGAATTTCTTATACTAAGCACTTTTATGAAGATGTTTCTAGGTTTTCTCTTCCCCTTATTTCCTAACTGATAAAAGTCAATCTTCTGCCTTAATTACATCGTTTAATACTTTTAAGATTTTTTCACCATTTCAGCAAACCATCTTCTACTTTTTCTTCGCATATATGAATCGACATAACTGAGCTTACTCCTAAATCTTTAACTGAAACTCTTTAAAAAAAGATTTTCTAAGAGCTTTAAATGTGTGGAAAGTACTTCTGCTGCATTTAAAAACTGTAGTGTAAGACAAAGCATGCAAAGCACTTCAACCAAAAAAGCATAGATCCTTTCCACTTCAAATATACATAAAACAAATTTAATCTTATTTTAAATACTGACACCGATTTTAAAAAAGTGAGTAAAAAGGAAGAAAATTTTGATAACACTGGAAGGGAAAAAAGCTACAAGAACTGATTATATAAGGAAATCAACGAGGTCAACACGTGCTCTATTTTCTCTCATTATCGAATATTTCTAAAAACTTAAAAAAACCTTTTGTATAAAGTCAATGCGAAGTATTCTGCAAAGGATTTTGAAAATGTTTCCATCAAATCTTAAGAAAAAACTCTTAACCTACTGATGACCATTCTGAGTAAGCAATTAATCTGACCGTTTAAAAATTAGTTATGCATTATTTTTCTGTTACCAGTTTTGAAACTGTAGTATGATAATGATATAAAAAAGTATTTCAAGTTCCAGTGAAGTCTCCTTCAATGATAAGCAAGAAAGATTTTCAAAATTTATAACTCGTTTATTAATATTTTAAACATGTCTGTCCATGAACATATTACATTTGAACCGAAATTCATATAGTGTTTACACATCGCTCCAAAGAAAGTGGAATACTGTTTTGAAGAAATTCGAAATTGCAGGATATTCGGGACTGAAGAATTTCAACATTCTGCTGTCAAACTATCTTGGCTTACAACTCCAACACCATAATTCCACAATAAAAACAAGTTAAAAGTGTTCAAGTTTGCAATCTTTGATTTCCAAGCTTTTCTCCTGCACTACTTCATTCTCTTTTTTTCGCTTTTTCAAATCAAACAAATAAAGCAAGCAAATAAAAGAATCGAAAAAATTTTTGTGAAGTGAAGTTATAATATGCCATAAACATAATGAAGTACTGACATATCAAGAAATGTTGCACAGAAAGTACTTCTGCTTCTAAATGCAACTTTATCTTCAACAAAAAACTTGAAAATCTCAGCATGTATGATAAACAGATTTTCCATGCCCATACCTCCAGAAAAACCTTTCCTCAATTTTATTCAATTCCTTAGGAAAATCCTTAGGAAAATGAAAAAAAAAAAAAAAAAACAGGGTAAAAAGAACGAATACAAGAAAGCAACAAGATTAATGCATCGGTATGTATTGTACTTCAACACAATTTGCCAGCAATTTGCCTGACATGGCGGCCTCACTGGGTCGTTGAACAGTTCCATGTGGACCAGCATAAACATAAGGGAACCGTAAAATATAATAACGTGCCCATTCCAGATGTATGGGTGCTTCTCCTGTATGGTATATTGGCTCTTTTGATGTTGGCTAAAAATATTCAATTTAACAATTATACCAAGTGTATTAGACATCAGAAATATATTTTTATAAACTGTAATAAAATTAATACCGAAAGTCTTCTCATTTATTAATAAAAATTATAAGGAAAAATGGACCTGAACACGAGGATTCAAGACAACAGTAACCGGAGCTTTAGGAGTAACGACGTGAAGTCGCATCAACTGAGCACTTACTTGCGGCAATCGACGACATGTACATTTTGTCCACAGTGGTAAATCTGAACGAATCAAAGTTGACCCCGATTCCTGAAGAATCATACTAAGTTCACTTAACTTTTTTAAAATATAGGATTCAATTTCATTACTGTAATTAAGCAACAAAGAAAAGGATGAAGAAATTATATATTGATAATAATACTAAGTTTTTGTTTTACTGGAGAAGATTCTAAAAGAGTGCTGTTCTAATCACTATACTCAGTTATAATTACTCGGATTTGTATAACCAAACTCATCGACTTCACAGATCACTTAGTTAAATTTATACTGCAAATTACTGCAACCTACACTAAATAATAAATATTAAAGTGGCAATGATAGGACTTAGCTACAACACTCTTCCGATAAAAAGGGTAATTCACGTTTCAGTGTAAATGTAAAAGACACTTTTGAATTCAATGCTGCTTTCACTCCAGTGTTGGCATGCATATCCTGAATCATAAATCGATGTCCTCTTGGGCATTCATATTCAAATCCAACAAACAACTAAAAAACAGATAAACTAAAACATAGTCTATGGTTCGAAAGATTTGGTGTTCCATCTTACAATGACTCGAAAAATCATCAAGAAATTTAGCCTCCATGATTTAAGGAGATAGTTAAAACGGATTGTATATTGTATAAAGATTAGCGATCAGTGAAGAATTTATTCAAGAAGCTCTAAGCAATTTGATTACTACTTGAGAAATGACGAAAAACACGGTTAAGGTTAATTTTGAATGAATCTAAAACTTGGATTTCTGATTTTTACTAGTAGCAAAAATTTGAATCAACACATTGAAAATCATTTGATTTTCAATTCTGCAAATAAATATAGTACTTTCACTTTTTCACGATTACTCTTGTTCACTTTGATAAGACGCTTCGATCTCACACCATATGTATCGCCCATAATTTCTTTCATATCAATATCCCATTTCTCAGGATCGACTGTAACAAAAACATCGACCGGTAAAAGAAACTGCGTCCCATTTTTGAAGTTTGGCATATCGCGAAGGCCAGCCTTATGACTAAACTAATCAAACTTCATTAATTGTGATTAAGTCAACTAGATTAAGCAAACATTAATCAACCACTACGCCACACTGAAAGCCTAATTCGACTGAATTGATTGTACGTAAAAGAAACCTGTACAAACTTGATGCACCCAGACATAAAAGTGACCATGAGGGGAAAAGAGGTCTTCTAGATGGTGATTCTGTATTCGGAACACATTCCAAAAATTGACCTAAAATAAATTCTTCAGAAAAAACAACACTTCAACTACGTAAGAAACTGCAGAATTTAAAAGAAGAAAAAGAACACGAATGATAGCTACATCAGGGATAGGAGAAGTTACTATGGCTGCAATACTTCCAAACAAGCCCATAAACCAGTTTTTGAACAGAAAAGCTTATAACGAACTGGATGCAAAGAAAAATAGCAAATTCATACCTTTGCATAATTTTCTTAGCTTTGCTAATTCCTCTTCAAAATTCATAGCGGAGTTATCTAACTTATCAGTGTTATCTATGTCCGGTTCTCGTAATTGCACATCATCATCATCAAGATATGAAACTTGTGCTTCAGTTTCCGGAATAGCCTCTTCATCTTCCTGCGACCACGATTCGTAATCATCCATGTGCTATAATCATTTGCACTTTAAAAATATAGTCATAATGATCAATATAGTATACGGTATCTGTTTTTCTTGAATTCAGCAGACTTTTTACTTGTGAACTAGTCTTTACTCAAAGGTGCAAGGAATTTGAATTTACCGCTCGATGACGCCGCATTCCTAAAAATGGTTGCTCAACCTCTTCCGTCCTAACGTATTCCTCATCATCCTCTTCATCATTATTCTCCATTTCTTCAGGAGTTTGTTCTTCACCACACTTTTCCGTTCCTGACGATATAGAGACTTTCTTTTCTTCTAATTCTTTCTCGACATCATCAGTATCTGTACCTACTGCTGAAATATTAGAAATCTTAATGTGACAAAAAATTCAAAAGATAGTCGAGAAAGCAATAGGAATCTTAAAATCACTGCATAATTATAATCCTCATACATCAGTTAAAGAAAGCATATATTTAAAAAGAAATTAACAGTATACCGATGCAAACTTATGCGTATACTAAACTAAAACAAAGAAACCTTTACTTTTAAAAGGAGACTGTATACTTTCACGATGTACTTCATCACCTTCCAAAGGATTATCACGATCCAAAAGCATTTTCAAATCGTCTAAATATATCGATATACAAATACCAAAACAAAACTTCTGGATTCGCAATAATTCAATACCATAGTTTCTTAATAAGCACTTCTGTCAGAACATAAGAATAATGGATAATACAATTACTAAGAGTTCTGCACCAGATATAATGTACCAGTGTTTTAAAATCATTTTACCAATGCAATACTTTTAAAGAGATAAAAAGAGAAAAGTACAAAAACAAAAGCCCGATTACTTTCTCCTATCGATGTTGATGAAGATTCGGAAAAACTATGTTCTGGAGAAGTCATCGATTTTTGTGATTTATCCGGTAAACTTTCTATATCTAACGATGCTTCATTAATATCATCATATTTGAAAATTTCAAATTCATATTCTTCCATATTTTTGCAACATGTAAACTGCGACTGAATGTAGAAAACATGGTTGGCTTCCTGCAACAGTGCACTATTTCTGAACATTATATTATCACAGATACATAAGAGGATAAATGTTTATAGTAACGACTATATTTACTTCATCAATTCAAATGAATTGTTCATAATTCACTGAAATCAACTAGACATGAAACACACATTAGAAAGAAACAAAACGAACACGTAATGAAAATGGATCGTTCCGCAATGCCTGCGAATGGCCACAATTACATGTAGAAAGGAAACGGGCTCCACTTGAGTGAGGAACTCGTTTCGTGGCTGGCACTTCCACATCCGATAGAGAATAATGAACCTGAAAAATTATATAGAATTTCCTTTTTGCAAGATATTACAGACTAAGATACCAAAATTATTTATTCAAAAGTGAAATCTGTCTCCAAGAGCTTTGAAAATTTACTCCATATGCCTTGGCATCCAAATCGAAAATTAAGTAATCAAATATAGACCAAATACTTTTATCTTGCAAACAGTGAAAACGATCAAATGGAAGTTAAAAGTCAGCAGCATTAATATTATTTAGGCTAATTCTTCATTAAGGAAATTACTAACACTGTATTCCACAATCCTTCTATGACGACATAAATAACACCGGCTACTATAGAAGATTTTGTCTTGGCATTTGCTCAAATATCGAATATTTTTGCCCTCATGTTAACGCTCAAATAACTTACCGGTAGAACACATTCATTCCCAGTGAGGGAAACAAATTCACATGCTTTTTGAATAGCCCAAAGAGCTTCGCATTCCTGTTTCAGTTTTTCTTTAGCCTTTCCTAATGTGGTGCCATGATAAATACATTCCAAATGTTCCATTGCACGTGCCAACTAAATTACTCAAATATTTTTTAACAAATTCTGTTAGTCATTCATTAACATAGATATGTGCTTCGTCTGTTATGTTTCCAACGAAGTCAGTGAGTGATTTTAAATTTTTTTCTAAAAATCTTGAAATCCCTCTCTAGAGAAGATTTTTCTTGAATATCACAAAAGGAAGACGAAACCTTCAGGAAGATTGATGTCATAATATCATATTTAAAGAAAAAATAAAGCCAACCTTAGCTTCATGCTCTGCTTTCGTAAAAACCTGTGATTTTCGTTTCTCAAAATCACGTGTATCCTTGTTACCGTTTTGATATACTGCTTTAGCTTGTCCAATGTACGTACTCTCCACGCTTAAAGATATTTTATAATGATATGACTTGTGCATCTTTATCACTAAATTTTATGATTAATTTTCATTTAATATTTATAGATAAGGACTACCAAATGGGAAGCAAAAGTGAAGGAATCACTGTTTTAAGGTGGATCTTTATTATTAAGAAATAGAATATGTCAGCTTATGTAAGCTACAAGCTTCCGATGTTATTAATCCAAATTTATTCAAAAAGTCTCTAAATTTAGGAGTTGAAACGTAGTATGTTAGAAAAGCATGTGAAAACAGCTCTGGATTTAGAAATAAATAATTAAAACGGACTTTTCTAAGAAACAGAACTGTCATCTTACCTTTTGGAAAACTGTAGTTCAAGGCTACTAAGTCTGTATATTTTCTCATCACTAAAGATTTGTGTTCGGAATAACTGATCATAAATGATTCTTCCACCAATCAAAAGCCACTTCAGCTTAGGTATCTGTCAAAATTATTTAAAAAAAGATTTTAGAAAAATTATTTTAAAAAAGATTTTAAAATAAAAATTAGCTGGAGAGTATGTTTTTTTTTTTACTAGCAGCGAATGTAACTTATTAATCATGGAGAAAAAGTAGCTAAAACAGTAAAATTTCCATGAAAATATTTCTATAAAAAGAACTTCATAAAGATATCTCCTTCTCTCTTCATCTTGTCGCACGAGATCGATGTGAGACCGCAGAAATTCACCAAAATCACTACGCTCTTCTTTTTCTGAAATATTCTTCCATATGACATTTAGTTAATTAAATGAGGATATCAAGTTAATGAGACAGTAAAGAAGTTAGGGACAAAAAAAATTATTCGTAACAGTTTTAAACCATTAGTTAAACAGAGCTATGAATTACTTATCCGATACCATAGAATATGCAAAGCAAATAAATGTTTTCTTAGCAGTAATGTAGAGGCACTTTGTTGTAAGTGTCGGAATTCGAACAATTATTTCCAAACTACTACTTAATTTTTATACGTATAGTATTCACTTCTACTAGAAATATCTATCTCTTTCCTTTACCGGAGACTAAGTGCAGAATTAGTGAAGTAAAATTCCAGAAATATAGAGGAAATAACACAGTCCCTTGAAAATAAAATCCAATTTTTATATGAAAATTCAAAACAAACTGACAAATCAATACCACTTTTTTCACTTCCGTCATTGCCTTCTTTACTGCTACCTCGTTCAATAAGCATCAACAAACTTCCACGAATAACATCATGAAATGATTCTGCTACCGAAAATAAGTAAACAAATTGTTCCAAAGATTTCGGTAAACTACACGGGCAATTTCTAAATAAAAAATTTCACTTTTGCCGGGAAAAATATTATACAACAAGTCACAATCCCATTCTTTGAGAAAAATATTAAAGCTTGACTGTCTGGTTCTTTTGAACAGTTGTTTTATATTCTCATTTCATCTTGAAAATTTCTAAATGTGATTTATGAAAAGACAGTTGAATTTTGAAAAATTTAATTGGAAAAAACTATTCACCTATCACCAGCCGCAACAAGTCCATATATTTGCATACAACGATATATTTGCTGTTCTAATTTTTCCACGAGTTTGCTCTTCAGCTCTCTCTGAATTCAACAGAACTTCTGTGAAACTTAAATATTAGCGCGCATTTATTGATATTTTAAAACCATTCAACTTCAGCAACTGCCCATAATCGTGACTAGGAACAATAAATAAAAACTAAAAATGACAGTTGAAAAATCGGGAATAGACTGACCTTTCTACTGGAATTTAAATCACCCCTCAGTAAATGACGATGGAAAGCAAACAGGCACCGCGGTTGAGCTAAGCGTCCTTCAGCAGACCATCCTTGTGGGAAACCCGTAACAGCTGACAATTTTATCCGAATTTCTTTCTGACAAAACCGTCGAAGTTCATTAGCTCGTTTCAAATCACGGCAACAATTCTGATCAAATCGACAACCTGGTTCCATGTAAATGAGCAGATGCGAATAAAGCAGGAGAAAGGTCAGACATCGTGCATAGTCGATTTCCTGCTGCGAAAGAAGTTCGAAGAAATCCTGAAATTCATAAGTTTAATATTTAAAAAATATGAACTGTGCATATTCACTATCAACGAATAGTTAGTTGTAAGTTTTGAATAAGTTACATAAAATTAAAAGTATCTAGTATAAATTCACATAGTTTTTCCGAAAGTTCCAAATTTATTCTGGAAATATTTCAGTGGAGCATTTTTCCACTAAATTAAAATTGAATAATGAAGCAATAAAATTGAATAATGAAGCATCACAGTTTTCTTGCTAAATTCATCTATATAATAAACACGTTTTTTTGTAACCCAACCAGCAACATAAGACCATTCACTACATCCTTACCGCTTGGTCGCTATCATTATTTCGTACGAAATGTTCCAATGAGCATAAATCACCATAACCAGAAAGATGCAAAAAAAGAACTGACAATTCTGATTCATAGTAAGCTTCAATCTAAAACTATGTTATTTATATCAAAAGTGAAACAAATATTTAATCCAGGAAAATCTTAAATGAGAATCGCCAAGATGTTTCGTCATGCCTCCCTATAGTATCATATAGGAAGGCATGACGTGGCTATGTACATTATTCTTCTGAAGAAGAATGGCTGTTTCAGTCCTCTAATTGCTACGCTTATCACCATAATTAGAGCGAAAATTCAAATAAATACGTGTTATGCAACAAAAAAAAGAAAACCTAATGGAAATTTGAAAAGCAGAATTTTAATAAGTTATAAAAAGTATAAGACTGCACAAGAAATTTCCTGCCTTCAGAACACATATGAAGTTAATCGCTTACCGAAGCAGTACTGCCTTCTGCAACGATTGGCTGAATGAAAATTGGGCGCCCTAATAAGTGATTGATTGGATCGGCCTTAGAACAATCATTAGAAGCTTTTCCAACAATTCCTACAACAACAACATGCCTTCCTTCAAACATAGCCAAATTATACGCCGACTCGGTAAGCCACTTCGATAATGATTCTGCAAGTCCATTTCTCATCCTGCTATCGTCCTGAATACACATAAAACATAGATAAGTATATCGTTAATATAGATAAATAAATACTTTGTAATAATCTTCGGTCAAAACAGTGCCATCTTAAGATTATTTTTGAATCAACAAATTATTAATCATAATTAAATAGTAAGTGAATCAATCTACAAATACGCAAAGCTGGATTTAAGAAAAAGAAATTATCTAGTGAAGTTAGTCAATTTTCCACAGAAGAACACATTTTCTAATATTTTCCAACATTTTAGCTAAATCTGCCACAAAAGTTTACCCGAAACTAGCCAAGTGGCCTAGCCATCAAGAATGACATATCATTAGGCCATCATACTATTACCAACACTTATGCTATTTCAGAAATCACATTACTCTTTCGTCTACACATTCCTTATGCTATTTTCGATTCTTATTAATCTCTGTTTACTCCACAAAAAGTGCAGGTTTTTTAGGATGCGATTGCTCAGGATACTTTCATTTCACGGAGTGGTCAATTGTTTATTTCATTCAGAATGTTTTGTGCAGTGGCATCTCTACTCTGTTATCGTTTTTATCACCCTCTTATCAATGATAAGGGTTTTATATCATCTCTCTTATAGATCCCCTCTTTTCAGTAGACTTCTGATCATAAGGTTATTTTGTAATAAGAATTAAACATTTGTGTGTGACCCATTGTCTTAATCTTTTATCGTTGAAAACTTTCTCATAAGACAGTAATTTGCAATGATCCGTTAGTATAAAGGAGAATTGAGTAAGAATGAGTAGATGATATGAAATTGATGTTATTTTTATTTCTGGTGTGAAGGAATTTGTCTGTTTTTATATTGCATATGAAGGAATTTATCTGAGTAGCAGGAAGTGTCACTTAAAGGATGCCATCAAATTTATCATAAATAAATGATTAAAAATAAGTGTAACTGTTTTCTTTAAAAATGTGTCAGAATGAGATGAATGGAAAATATGTTTTGCTAATTTTTTTGCTTCATTGAAAACTTGCCAGCGTTTAATATTCATAAGTAACATATTTTTTTATTTCCAGAAAAACTAAATAGCACAAGAATGCTCCTATCGTTGAAAACTATATTGGTAAAAATTTTCCAGCTGTTCAGGGGGAATCAACAACATTGTATGAATAATTTGTGGTACTAATTCGAATATAGCCAAATTTGAAGGGAATTACAAGAATTTAATGTTTTGATTTCATTACAGATTAATTCAACAAGTATTTTCGTACAACTATTAGTTCTGAAAAGATACATAGTCTCGAGGCAATAAGGGCACTCTTTCATTAATTTCATCTTCTGCATACTGTATTGTATTCATTACTTCAATGGTATGCGATTGGCCAACACCTGAAAGTAGGACCACTTATATTTTATACGAAACATGGAATAATCTATCCATGAAAACAAAATAAAAGTACCAATCCGTGCCAGAATTGATTCTTAGAATTGCATATTAACATATTTTAAATTAACAGGAGGAGATTGATCAACTTGTTTGTTATGCATCTGTTTGACTTCATTCTTTTTTTCCGTGAAAAAGTTATTTCATTATCTCAACTAAATGCAATGGGAATTGATTTTGTTTTTGGATTAACTTAAAATTCTCTTTGTGAGGAATATTTTTGCAAGCAGTGTGTTGAAATTTTAAGAAAACCATAAATGTTCTAACATTTAGGCCGGAATTCCAACTTCTCAGTCTTGACAAATAGCGCTCTAGATAGTGGTGATCGCTGTCCATCCTTGAAACAAGCCGTGGCACAGAACGTATAGAACCAGTCATAGCGTAGATCAGGAAAAACTATTCGTTGTCCACGAACTGTGATGCGTTCCCAGACTGAGAAGTGAGCATTAGGATTTTCCGTATAATAAACAATATAATTCTGAAAATTGCACATTGTCATATTTTATTTTTTTATCGCATTCTAAGGTTAGCTCAGACGAGTTAATCTCTCAGGTAATGTCAAAAGTTTCTATGAGGAAAACTAAATACTTTAAATTAATGTTTCGGTAGGATATTCTCTTGCTCTGAAAAAGATATCGTTGTTTCGAATGGTGTGGAAGAATATTAATTAATAAACTGAATTGAACTGCGCAAATGTCTTTAGGCGACTAAGGTTATTGAATGTACTCTCAAAGTTATAATATCACAAAACTAATATATACCGCAACATCTCTGGTGCGTTTATAAGGTGGTTCCCAAGATAATTCGATAGTGTTTGCATTCAATCGTTGAGCTAAGATATGTTGTGGGCTAAGCTGTGGCTCTGCAACACATTACTGCAATACACTGCTCAACTTAGAAGTTATATAAGAATTTTCGTTTTCAATCATAAAGTATTTTCTTTTATCTGTATTACATTTTTCTTATTTGATTTTTATCAAGAGTTCAATTTTATAAAATATTTCTTTTCACTTCAAATTTTGATCATTTCTGTTTAGTATTTCTGCGAATCCCTAAGAGCTGTTTTTGAAATTAAAAATAATTCACAAAAGGATTAGCAGATACAACAAAATTGTGGAATAAGCTGCTCTTCGATCAATTTTTTTGAATAGATCTAAAATAATATTTTCGAAATTTTTTGGAAAGAAGTGAGGTTACTCAATCTTCAACCGGAATTTTAAGGATTTGGCGTGGGAAAGCTTCATCTACCTGTATATTGCACTAGATAGACTGGTTTGCTTTCACCGTAGCGTGAAACAGCTGTGATACGAAATTCATACAAAGAACAGGAATCAACGCTCATAATTTCCGCTGAATGTCCTTGAATGCCGCGCAGTTCACGCATTTTACTGTCTTCTTGATGTCTAAACTGCTTTTCTTGAATGTAATTCTTCGAATTTGTTAAAGCACAATTTTCAAATTACAAACTTTCATGGATTGTTCTCATAATGAAATGAAAATGTGTAAAGGTGTCATTGACATGAGAAGTTAGCAAAAATTCACTTTCAAGTAATCTTTTTCTATAGTAGATTCAAAATCGAGTCTTTCCTCACTTAAGCAAATTACTATTACAAACTTGATCCGATAACGTATATTGTAGGTAACTTGATCGTCAGCAGAAAATGCTGGTGCCCATGCAAGGCGTACTGAATAAGCGGATGTGGAAACAACCTGACATTCCCGTGGTGGATCTGGTGGCAGACGAGCGAACATAAATTCATCATCTGTTACTAAAAATGAATTTTATGAAATGTTTTTAAATTGGGAAGAATTAAACGAACTGAATTTCTACTTGCAGATAACTGACAAACCATCTTATTATTTCAATATAATTAACTTGCAATGAGTGAGAAATCTACATTGTGATATAATCCAAATTATTTTTAGGAATAAAACTCACACATGCGTGGCCCGCGTTTTTGAAGCTTTCTGCTCATTCGTCTTCTGGCCATTGCACCCATATGAGTATTATTATGTTCAAATATCATACCTTTTGCTAATTCCAAAAGCATACTTGCAGTTGCTTGTCGTCGTCGCCTAAATTTTTACATAATTCATAGGAATCCAGCTTGTGAAGAACAGATAGCAAAAAATGAATGGAGTATTGTTCTAAAGATAAAATATCTCTCAAGTGATTTGGAACTAAAACTCAATGATCAATTTGATCAGTTCTATAGTCAACAGGATCAAACTGGTAATTTGATTATTTTGGCATAATATTTTTGTGGAAAATACATGAACACCTTGCTTTTGCTTCACGAATCAAAAAGAAGGGATTATTCGTTTGAATTTTACGGCCAATGTAATGAATCTCCTTTAGATACATTCGACCGACAACATCCATACACATTGTTGTCAGAATTATGCCACCCATGATGACACACAAAACTACCAACATGTTTTGCTGTTCTGGGCGATAATCACCGAAACCTGCATCCAGCAGTATTTCTCGAATTATTATTTAAGTTGCAAAACTACTATTTGATTTTTAAATAAATAACATTGACTCCAATTTCATACTATCTATTCAGCTGTGTAGTATTTTCTAAAACAATGATGATAATTAACTGATTTTTTTTTTTTTTTTAAATTAACATTTGTGAAATTCATACTAACCAACTGTCAAAATGCTAATAAATGTGAAATACACTGATTCGGTATAAGTCCAATGTTCTTTCTTTTGAATAATATATGAGCCGAAAAGGCCATATAAGAACACAATTAGAAATAAAATTACGGGTGGAAAGCGAACAAGCTTTACTTTGTCTAATAATTCCTAAAATATAAAAATTGAATTGTATCCATGTAAAAATTTTTTTGTCACTATTTAAATACTAATTTAAAAGGGAAGATCATAATTTAGAACTTGTTCATCTTCATTTTCACTGAAAATAGGTCGAAGATCATGGATCGTAAATCCTTTCCGGCGATCTCTCCATGTCGTTAATTTTTTCCAGCAATTGTAATGAATTAAAAAAGCGCATTCTGATATGAACTTGGCAATGTTAGCCACTGTAACTAGTGTTAGTGGGATGCCTGAAATTTGATGCAAAATAAAAATTCAGTCTGGAAAATGTAAAAGCTAATGAAAACATAGTTTAGATTATGCCACGAATCAAATTTTTATATGACATTTACCAATGAGACAGTAGATGACACCGAATAAACGTCCGGAGAATGTTGATGGTGCAACATAACCGTATCCAATTGATGTGAGCATCGTTGCCGTAAAGAAAAACGAGGTAATAAAATCCCAGCACGGAGCATTCGTATCGTAGCCATGTCGATACTTAAGATGAGCGGTAAACACGGTATCGACGTACTGCAATATGTTAAATAACAGAAAATCACGAGGTAGACATTTTCTATCTCAGAATTATCGTAACTTTTCATCTTTAACAGATGATTCAGTTATTTTGTTAAATTTTATATAACATTTGTTGGGCAGATTAATTAAATTTATTGTGTTAGGATGATTAATATGATAATTACTTTATAAAATTGTTCTCTACTATCGCGTCTAAATATTTCCTTCAGTTCTGATCTGCTTATTTTTTGATATTTTTTAGAATGTGTTAAATCCCAAATTCTATCTATATACTTCTCCACGCTTACATCGATTCTGTTGAGTTGGGCTGCTTTCATGTCCTGAAATTATAAGCACAATAATATATCTTTTCGATGATTACTCTTTCAATGACAGTATTATACCTTTTATAACATAAATTGGGTGCATTTTAACACCTATGCAATGTTTTGTGTTAAATTGAGTCTCAACAAAACATAATTTCATATATATGAAGGAAATTTAAAAAAAACAATTTCATATTTATGAAAAAAGTTAGAGAATCTTTTTATAAACTGTTTGCAACCATTGATGTTTAAATAAATTCAAATGTAAAAGCTCAATAGTTGAATAGTCATTTTTTTATGTATTAAAGTTAATAGCACAGTCATTTCAACACTTATTTAACGATCCGACGGAATCGTTTCATAGTTATTCAGCTGGAAATAATTGCTTAATAATTGCAGCAGAGGAAGCGATGAAAGACTTTATACTGTCGTTTTTTTTTTTTTTGAAAATTACAAACTTGAACATTTATAACATTTAATCACTTCTTGGCAGGGAATAAATTGAAATTATAAAATGCAGACGTCTTAATTCAGATATTTTAATGGATAATAGTTTGTATTTTTATTACTATTCGGTCATATCGTTTAATTATTATCGAAGTTCAAAAATTTGCAAACTTTGAGGTGACGTCCTTCGAGCGCTTGAAATATCCATGCCCCAATTACCATGTATAGAATGCAAGCTACAATTAGCAAGAAGTGTGGAGAGATGATTTTGGTTACAATCAGACGCCGTAAAATCCTTAAAAAAATGTGCAAAACTTTGAAATTGTATAAAGGTCAAATATAACTTAAGTTATAAATGCTATGTTTTTGCCAGAATATGGCCTTTACTGAATACAGCTTGCTTACTTAAAAGAAAAGGAAGTAATGAATACCTTAAAAAAGACATTACAGACAGCTTATTGGTGAGTTTATATTCAAACTGATGCATCTTGGCATTTTTAGCTATTATCGTTTTATCGCATTTAAAAACGTCGATACATACGTCAACAAAGTGAGTGTTACGAGGAAGAAGAAAAAAGAAATGGAAATGACAGAGTAGTATAACTTGACGGAGAAAACATGATGATGCTGTTCGGGTGCTCAAGGAAATTGAGAAGATCGACATGTGGAAGTCCTGTGGGAATCAAAATTCAATATTTGCTGCTTTTGAAGCTGAAACAATTTTAGAAGTTACTGGTTTCCAAAATCCTAAATTGAGTATCAGATCTTAAATTAATAAATATAACATTTAATTTATTCTATTCTCAAAGTGATACATTGAAATATCATAAAAGAATAGAAATGAAATGAATGAAGAATGAAATAAGTGAACAAAATTAAATAAAAGCATTTACCAATTTCATGGAGAATAATTTTTTCTCTAAAGAATACCACGTGTAACACGTTTATTGACCACATATACATATACGGATATGCGTGTGACACACAAACACTGTGTCGTCCTTTTGTTTTAACTTTTTTAAACTTTAGTGTCATTTTCGATCATTCAGAGAAAAAAAAGTGTTATGGAAATATTGCTGAGATTTTTATTAGATGGATCAGTTGTCTCGTTTTCAATCAGTTAAGTTTCAATCACTTAATCAGTTAACTGTGTCATCTGGTGTGATGTGTCATCTTTATTTAGCACTTTCTAGAAAGCGAAAAATCTGAGCAAATTTGATACAATTTGAAAAACAGCTGTTTTGATGAAATCTTTCTATTCCGTGAAAATTATTTCACTATTTCATTTTTGTCATATTTTTCTGCTAGCTTATTTCAGGACGAGAGCTGAGAACAGGGCTGAGCCCTGTTGGCACAAATTTCGGAACAGTTGAAATCATATCAGTGGCCGAGCTGTAGATCGAAACAGATCTTGCTATTAAACATTTATCTTTTATCATTATTATATAATCACTTAATCGTTGTTTATCATATGATGCCATAGTGTGTTCATGGTTATATAAAATAAATATTTCATGTAACTGAAGAAACATAAAATCAATTCATTTTACGGATTTTATGACAGTGCAATAAACAAATGATTATTATTTTTTTTTTTGTTTTTTAAATGCTATACAATGGGATAGTTTAGAGGCTAACAGTAAGTACAATGATAAGCGCAACAAGACAAGTTTCATTTAAAATCTCAATTTTGATTTTTTTTTTTAATATTCCAATAGGATAGTTTGTTTCAATGTGTAAAAAATATAAACAAAAGATAAAAATTGATTGCTAAATGAAAAAGTAAGCAGTTAAATGAAATAGAATCAAAAATTGTAATTAAATAATTCTGATTGACTCTAATAACTGTTGAAAACTTTCTATAAAATTTTGTAAAATTTTCTCATCGGTAGAGAAAAAGCAAGAATATGAGTGGCACATGAATTTAATCCATTGACTTTTCATATAGATTTTTTCTAGTTAACTTAAATCTTCATGCATATCTCATATCACTTGTAAGGACATGCAAAATATTATGGAATATAAAATATGATAATACAACAAAAGGAAAGATTTTAATTTAAATAGAAAATAGATAAATCGAATGATAATTATAATTAAATAACAATATTGAGATGCTTTCCGTTTCTGATATTGAAACTTTTATGTTTTCCGTTCCCATAATCTAACTAATTTTTTCCTTTTTAAATTGTCATTAACTTCTTTCTCTCTGTAATATGTTTGTTGTTGACGACAATGATAAGAGAAATATGCTACCGCTAAAGGAGATTACTAAGTGATAATTTTTTGATATAAATTATGAATCTATCTTTTTTACTTCTAAAAAAGTGCTTTAGCTTTGAAAAGATGTTTCTGATTTATTTCAAAACTTTTTAATTCATGAAAACTGATAGGATTTGAAAATTTCCGAAGTTTTAGAACTTTATGAGGCGAAAAATTGAAAGTTCTTGATTTGTGCACCACAAAACTTTGCATTTTTGTGTGAATTTTCTTTCTTTTTTCGAAATCAAATATCCTGAAAACAATGTGAAATTGATTCCTGAAATTTCTGTGACAGAAAGCTATGAGAGGTCCTTATTACTTCATAATCACTAACTGATTATTAGTTTCTTCATATAAATACGTGGTCATGTTGTCCTAAGTGTTCAAAAATGTAAGAAACTGTCAACGTAGTGATCTTTTCTGTTTTTATCAGTAAGTTTCTGCCTGTCCTTTTTGAAGTTCGCTCATAAAAATTACACTTTGACGTGCTACGTGACCTGTTATCTTCCATATTTTAGCTTATACTACGAAATTACTCTGTGAGACGCCAAATCAAAAGCTTTAAAGTCTTTTATTCAAAACTGCTATCGAAATTTACACAATGGATTAAAATGGCAATACACTGATTGGTGATTTGTAAATGTATGATAAATTCAAAAAGAAATTTAGGCTTTCAATCGAATCTCTTATGGAAATACAATTCAAAGTATATTTAAGTAATTATTGAAATACTTAACTGTTCAGCAAAAAAAAGTTGTGAGTGATCAGTTTATCCAACAAAATCAATGCGATAGCCATTTTTTCTAATTATAAGGTTTCTAGAAAAGAGGGCTAAATTAAATTGTGTGAATAATTTTGGTTCATTACCCATTTCCTTCTAAAATGAAGCAAAATAACTATGCATTATCATTAAATCGGAAGATGCGAGCCTGAATTAGCGATGAATGTTACTGATTTGTTATCAGTCTACGATTAACACATTAAGTTTGAGTGTACTAATTAAATTGTTAGCCATCTATTAATGTGTATAATTTGCGAGTGTTGATCCAATAATCAACACTCGCAAATTATATAGAAGAAGTAATGACGGAATAACTCTGATTTATAGGACATTTATGTGAGAAGAGGACTGAAGAGGAGTGAGGCCAGAAAAAGTCAATACAGCCTCGTTCCCTGGCTTCACACTACGAAATGGAACAAAGACCAGGCTTTCAGTCTTGGCTTTCAAATGGATGCTACAACTGCAAGCTCTAAGGCTGCTTTATTCGACAGATGGAATGATTTGGCATCAGCTTTTTCACCAGACTTAAAGGTTACTATATATTTGTTCATTTTAAATTTAATTTGATTCAAAAGTGTCATTTTAAAAAGTATAACTTTTATGTCAGTTGTCTATGAGAATGACTGAACGGTTACTGACACAATGAATTCATTCTGTTTGATGTATACATACATTTATGGTAATAAATTCAGGAAAAATGGTGGAAACATTTATTGAATATCTATAGCGAGCGGTCATTCTACAACCTCAAACATCTAAATGATATGTTTCTGCTTTTCGATGAATACAAGCATAAGTTGCAGGAACAAATGGCTACTGCTTTTGCTATATTCTTTTTGCAGTAAGTTTTGTCCATGTTTTTCTATTAAATGATAGGATCATTAATAATGAAAGAAGAGAGAGAGAGAGAAAGAAAGAGATATATTATTTAGTAGTTGAAACAGTCCGAATCAAAAACTTTGATTTGAGTCAGGATCTGAAATTGAAAATGTATATACTAATGATGATAGAAAGTTTTCCTCTTTTACTTTCTGCCTTTTTATTTTTAACTTTTACATCGCATAGTTATTTCTGTTCCATTATTTTGCTAAAATACTCGAAGCTAGATGCTAAATTCTAACTAGAATTACAAATCACAAAGGAGTAAACGACAATTCCCAAACATTATGACGAGTGAATGCATGTAATTAGTTTCTTTATTCCAAGAGAGATAATTATTAGTCATGAAGAATACTTCATTTGGCATAAAAGGAGAGAATAGTGAATGAATTGTTACTGTAGGTTAAAAAGCTGATCGAGATTTGAAAGTAGCATTAAAGTAAATTATATTGTAGTGCAGCTGATGATCCGAAACGCAGCAATAATGCTGAGCGAAGCGTGGAAATATTGAAGCAATTTTCAGCGGAAACAACAATTGACTTGGTAGAATTTTTTTGTGACAAGAAAGGGTAGGATCAATAGATCCCAATTTAATGCTTCTGGGTCAGATCAAAACAAGCCAACAAATCGATTTTATTTAGCATTATCTCTGTTCTGTTTTCATTGTAAAAGTAAGCTTTATTATCCTTTAATCCAATGACGGACCTTAGTAACCTTAGTAACAAAGTAACTTTTCTAAGATGAATAAGTTCATGTGAAGAATTATAAATCAGCTTTTACAAACTCTAAAAAAGTATTTGGACATAAACTAGTTTTAAGAACTTGGTGGCGAAAATTTTGGCATAAAATTCTTGAGCTATGCTGTTCACATCGAAATATTAGTCCGAAAAATAAAATAATGAATAAAAATTTTTGCCTTCCAAATTTATTTGAATTTTCCTTAAAATTCAACTTCTTTACACAATAAAAGATTGAATTTAGGAATATTCAGCAACACTGATTCTCAAAAGTGAAAAACACTGTACCGATGCTCATTTAATAGCCAATAGTTATGGCGAGGATGACGTTCACTTCTTGTTAGATTTCGATTTAGCTTTTTTGGGAGTCGATGAAATCGAGTATGACACACACAGCAAAAATATCAGAAAGGAATATAATCATTTAAACGACGAGGAATACCGCCAACAAAGATTAAAAGTGTGTAATACCTTATTTGCAACTAATCATCGATGCATCCTTAACTATTGATGTTAATAAAATCGGCAATTTTAAGTTTACTGGTCAATACTAATGAAACACAGCTAGGAAATCCCATCATGACAAATAATAAATTTATAAGGATGACTTCTTATACTGATTCTCATTCTACTAAAAGTTGCTTCCTTTGTTCGCAGATGAATTAATAAAATGTATTTTGAGTTCTTCTCTAACTTTTTTCGTTTATTCCTTTCTATCCGATGATTAAGAAGGATTCGGCATGAAAAAATTTTTAACTTCCCTCCAAGATTTGCTGCTGGGCATATGAAAATTGTGATACGAAAGGATTAAGAAATGATTATGGTGTCCTTGACTGTTTTATAATGTTAATTTCAGTGAATCATCTTGAGCTACTTATAAAATCACATTGTAAAATGAGTCAAAGCCATGCTTATCGCTTTTTTCTCTTAATGTTTAAAAATGTTTTTGTCAAACCAAGAATGATAACACAATAACTCAATTGAAATTCTTTCTTATTCCTCTTTTTTGCTGTTTTCATAGCGATGAGCGAAAAAATCATTCCAGAAGATACAATGAAGCCTTTCATCTTCAATCGTTTTTCTTTCAGATTTTGAAATTGTTTATGCGAATTCCAAACATTTACGCAACTCGAGAATTAAGAGAACGATTCGAAGTTCAAGCTCGTCTGAATATCGCGAAGGAAATTTCTGATTTATCCAAATAACTCAGGGTAAGATAATATTTTGCTAATTTTCTCATCACTAATTATTTTGGTGACTGTTATTGATTTTCTTTTCGTATTATAATATAACATTTTTAAGCGTTGAAGATTTTAAATTAAATTTGATTAGTGGGTACAGTGGATATTTGTTATTCTCAGTGATTTTCTAATACATCGATTAGTCTCTATGATTACTAAAATTGTTACCAATGAGAACGTTTATTATATGTAATATTACATCAATTCAAAGCAGATTTAACATGAAATGCATTTTGAGAATTTCCAAAGTTTCAGAAACTCCGCATTACGGCAGTCATTAATTAACTTATTAATTATCAATGAAACCCAAAATAAGCTATGACGCTGACATTATGTGCATGATGACAAAACATTCGTTCCAACGCACTTTTTTCTTTTTTTCCGGAAGTCTCAAATAAAATCGAATTGGTAGCCAAGTTTTGGATATTCCGATCCGACATTTCACCAATTTATAGCGATATCGAGATCAAACTTCAATTTTTTTGCTTATTGTTACCCATTTGCTTTTATTTATATAAGTTTCCTTTTGTGTGTACGAATACGCATTTGCAATGCCAAAGTTAGGTATAATAATTCAATGGATTTATCAAACACTATGAAACAGTAATTATAAAGAAGTTAGTAGGACTTCTAACCAATTAATAGATTTCTGATGATATGATATATCAATGATCATATTACAACACAATTTATTCTCACTCTCGTCCTGTGGAACAAATTTTTTTAATTCATAGGTGAGAAATTGCAATTTCCATAATGACATTCTTTGAATTCAAACTAAAAGGAACAAACTGCATTCTAAATTTCAAAGAGCGGAGCAGAATGACGGATTAACTCATACAATTCGAATTCTTTACTCCAAAGAATTTCACAACTTTTTTCAGCGAACAGTCCCCTCACAGCTCAACCTTCTCTACCTATTCTCATTTTCTTCTCATCCCCTCATTCTTGCTCTTTTTCTCAATAGCACTTTCGTTTCTATTCATTTGTTTTTGATCGGCAAAAAATGTAGAGATGTTTAACTGAAGTAGTCAAATACTCGACAAAATCCCTCGGTGCAAAGGATCAGGTGGATCTCGTCCGAACGACACAATCTTTCCATTTATTTAGCTTTAGCTTCTTTGCTATATATCATATTCTTCACGTGGAAAAAAAAAAATCTTTTCAGCATTACAAACAGTTGCGTTGTCCACATAACCGGTTTCTTTATCGGCACTCCTCACATCTTTTCGCTTCATATCTTAATTTATACCCTAGCTAATTACAGCGATTTTGCAGAGAGCTACCCTCAAGTATCGCTAATATTCACCGGTTATACAGTTATTCACACTTTTACACCAGGGATTATAAAATTATTCAAGCCCTGATCATTTATCAAAATCTAAAAATTAATGAGACAGTCGTCTCAGTTTATATTCCCTTATTAACATACTTTTACTGATAGGAAAATATTTATCGATCTGTACTAGAATAATCAATACAGAAGTAAATAAAGAAACAATGAAGTGGAAATGAGAATGAGGAAATGTCAAGATGTCGAACATTTACATACACAACAATATTTCATTTCATGTTTGCGAAGCGAACAAATATTCCAGTTGAAACTTAGATCTATTATGAAACAGACGATTACTAATAACTTGCATGGATTAAACCGAAATCGGGAAATATCAGTAAATTTATCCTGATGTGATCCAGTTTATTTATAAGACTATTTAGCTCATTTCCTTATTGTTCTTTATTCTAATTTGTATTAAAACTCGATTTTCAACAAATCAAGCTTTTGCATTGTTTATCTCTATGGATTGTTTTAATCTTGCTAAATTTAATTTGTTATTCTAAGGGAATTAAACGGAGCTTCCCTATATCGAGAAAATGAAAATGTCTGACCAATGAGTTAGTGGACTAATTAATGGAAGGAGAGAAATGGATTAACTCAGCATAGGCTGTCGATCTATGTCATTAGCTGTTCTGGAAGTCGGTGTTCCCATTAGAACGACTCGGTTGTTTCAGGGACTTTTTTTCTGGATAAGGTGATTGCGGGGTTGGTAATCGATATTTTGAGCGATTTCACGACTAGTAGGACAGGAGGCACAACTTTCCGATGAAATTGCGGTCATCGATTGTTTAGCAACTGTGCGGATAAGATATCTACAGTTGTCAAATTTACGATGTCTGTTTTGTCTGTATAGTTAGTAACGATAGTGACGATGATGAAAATAGATAGGGAAGAAGATGATGATGATAGTGACAGTGATACTAATGATTATTGCAGTAATGAGAACTGCACTGATAGCGGCTGATGGTCGAGATAATGGTAACGGCGTTGATGATAGTGCTGAAGCGGTAGTGCTAAGTGATAATCATAGACGTGATAACAACAGTAGCAGTAGTACCCATGATAAAGGCATTAATAACGACCATAATAATAATAATAATAATGATACAATGATAGTGGTAATGACAGTGACAATAGGGATACTAACAATTATTAATTATATGTGGTAGCGATAATAATCGTGATGCAAATTGTAAATAAATAGTGATGAATGATGGACTGTACTGCGATTTATTGCAATGCGAGGACGTCAACAACGACACATGCGGCGGGTGTGGCAGGTGTGGAGATGAGTGGAAGATGTTGGGTAATGTAGTTGACAATACGACATACATGCACCTATATTCACAGACATACACATGTATATCTGTGCAGTCACGTTTGTGTATATATGTATCCTTACGTATGTATGTTCTCATACACATGTCCTACGCGTACTATGCCACATACACTACGCCTACACATATATCTACTTTGACATACAGACATACATATCTAATGCATATATAGGAAAGGTAGTGAAATTCAGAGAGATGATATATGAAGAAGGCGATTTTAGAGTTCTCGGAGAGGAAGAAAAGAATCATTTTGAAGAGGAGGGAGAAGAGAGATTTGTTAATTGGTTGCTGGCATAGGTGGAAGGAATTGTCAAGAAGGACCCTTGACATGACGACAATGCTTCGCGCGATCGGTCCTTGCAGTAGCGAAATAAGTGGATGTATTTGCTGTCATCGTGTTATCAACTTGTATAGCATCATTTTTATTAGTAATAGTAGTTCTATTTTTTAATGCAATTATTCTTGTCAGGAAAGTATCAAGATTGTCGGGAATATATCAAGATACCAATGTAATAAATGTAATATTGTAGTCAAAAGATATCAGGGTAGTATTGTAATGAACGAATCATACTGAAAGGTTGCGGCATTTTGAGATGTCGAAGAGAGGTTCAAATTTCAGTTTCGTGGGTTTATTTTTGTACAAATCCGTGACACTTTTTGTGACGACTGATTCCGGAAAAATCAATTCCATGTAATTTTTGACTTAATTCTACGCGAATCTTTTTGAGGTATTGATAATAGTCATATTAACTGTGGAGAAAAAAATAAATAGGTACGACGTCCTCGATGGCATCCGGAAACCGTAATGTTTAGTCGTAATCTCTTGGATATAGTTCCGATCAAACAACCTCTTTGCCTGGATCAAATTATTTTTCCTTTATTTTATGCTTGTTTCTGCTATTTACACTAGTATATTTGTTGTTTTGATATAAAAAGAACGAATGAATAGTGGAATGGTGAGAGAAGATTCGGATGTCGCATTGGAAGCATCCCACTTTGCTTTCCTTCAACAGAACAAGAATATTTTAGCGAATAATGTTCTCTGGAAGCGGAAGGTATGTTTTCGTTCTATTGAATATATGTCTTACTTCATGTTTTTAATAATCTTTGCTGATTAGCTTGGTCGCTGTTTTGAATATTGGAAGGAACTACCCAGTATTTTATCAAATTGTGGAACCAAATTATCGTTATTTTTTTATCACTGTACTGAATGACTGCTATAGCTTCTAATAAATTTTCATTAAATGTTAATACAGCTATGGTATAATTTATGTTTTGATATCAAAATTATTTAAGTTAAATGTAGTATGTCACAGTTTTGACTGATAGAATTATGATCTTTTTTTATCACGGTGACAAGTGTTTCCTTGTAACAATTGATTTTTTTTTTTGGTATTTTTTGTTGTATTTTTCTGATCTTCAAAGCATTTTGAGTTTAATTTAAGTTAAATGTGTCACAGTAACACTTTAGAGTTGAGTGCTGATAGAGTTTCAATACAAATGAATTACATGAGGCTTGCTGCTTTAATTTGGGCTTGCGGATCACATTCTTGGAATATGCTTTGTTTTATTTCATCCATGGATTTTGGATAGCTTATAGACTCAATAATACTGGGAAATCCATCAGTATACTATTTTTATTTGTAGCTATTGATTAAGAATAATAATATTCACATAATTCATATTTTGTTTGGATTATTTCCGATTGTTATGAAAGCATCTTTTCAACTGTAAATTCCAACATTTTTTTGAGCACAAAAATATTTTCATGCTAAAAAACGACGTTTCATCTAGCAAACTTGATTCATCTTTAGAGTGAGTTTGTAGGATCCTGCAGAGGAACATCACCGTTTGGTTTATACTATTATTACATTTGTTTTTATTGTTTTTTTTTTTTTTTTTTTACATTTGATTTTAATTTTGTAAGACTTAGAAAAATGCAGAAATGAGAGCAGTCTTTTTCATTTAAGCAATGTTTTACTTTTTCTTATGATGACAATAATAACCGAATATGATATACCAAACATACTTTTTTTTGCAGAACTCAACCCATACTGTGTTTTATTATTCCTTCCTACCCCACCCTAATTTAGAAATCTTCAAGGTTTGTAATATTCTTTTGTCAAGTCTATTTCTCGGTCTTAATTTCGTTTTTTTTTTTTTTTTTTACGATGCTTAATAGGTTGAATAATGAAGATGATCTTTTATTATTGCCTCTGTCTTTGATATTAGTAAGTACAAAAATTACTGTGACAGATCACTTCTGTTCTGCAGAAAGACAGAAAAAT